ACCAACTGTTGTCAAGTCTTGCAGCGCTTTCCATGTCATGGAATACCCAGAAGGCAAGTAGGTGTTACGGAAGACAAAAGTGCACGCGCCAGGCTTAAGTGTCCGAATCACCAAGCACAACCAGGAACACAAGCGGGGAGACAAGTGAGACAAGTGTGGAGACAAGTGGGGGAGACAAGCTGCGACAACATCCCGAGTCAGCGAGCGCAAGCAAGGAGACTGGTGAGAAGACGAATGGGGAAATAGGCCATGACGAGGTCTGAATCAGCAGGCGCCAAGCGGGGAGACAAGTGGGGAGAGAAGCTGTGGCAAGGTCCGAGTTAGCAAGCAGAAACGGGGAGAGAAGTGTGGAGTCAAGCCGTGGCAAGGTCTAAGTCACCAAGCGCAAGCAAGGAGACAAGCGGGGAGACAAGTGGGCAGACACGCAGTCGCAAGGTCGGAGCCACCAGGCATCACCGAGCACAAGTAGGGAGTGGGAAGACAAGAAGGGAGAGAGACCAGGAGGGGTGTCGGGACCGTAATTCTTTACGCGACTAGAGAACCCTAACAACCCTAACAGCTAAGCTGTTTGGGGAACAAAGCAAAAGGAGCGATAGTCTCCGCAAGCCATCTTCCAAAAGCCCTGCTCTGCCAACCTTTGGTTGTAGGCAGCTTCCGAACACAATATTTTGCAAAACGAACTTGGCGGGCCCCAAACCGTCCCCAAAATGCCCTGCCGCAGGCGTGTTCAATACTGCAAAGAAGAAACAAACTGACCATGCCGCCACGCCTTGCTCAAACAAATTCAAAAGCACTGCGACAAAATGCACAAGTTGAAAACACACACACCAGCTACACACTTCCAATCCAATGCAGCCGTGGGGCTTCCAGAAGGGAATACTGCGCAGGCGAAACCCAGTGATTTGAAGGCGACTCGTGCAGACCTTGGGAAGCGATTGCGATTGCGTGCGTGGCGCGTGGTGCGTGGTGTGTGTTGTTGGCTGTGTTGTTTGGTGTCTGTGTGTGCGCGTGCGCGCGTGTTTGTCCAGGGGTTTCAGGGTTTGCAAAACACACAGTTACCCTCTTCATGACCCTTGCGGGCATATCTCACTCTTGTTGCTCTGTGTGTGTATCTCATTTGGCACAAATGGAAGGAAACAATTAGAAATTGATTGATGGCTGAAAACTTCAAGCTGATGGGCAACGTGTTTCAAAACCGTTCATCAGTGATCCTGAGAACAGCGAGGCCAGCCAGGCATGCCCCTCAGACGGACACCCTTCAGAAGCACAGAAAAACGTGCACATGAGTTAAATGTCCGGGGAAGCATTGGGCTAAAAACGCAATGCGAATGAAACGAAGATTTCAGCCAGGAGTCTCGGCGAGAGGAGGACCGAGCCACCGAGCTTCATCGCGTGTATGTACATAACGTGCACACTCCCATTGCTGGAAGTGTATTTCACCGCCCTGCCCAGAAGGTCCGACATGCTGAGCCAAAACTTCGTAGCTTCAAATGTAGCCGAGGAAAGCTTGAGCATCCTGGGCGCCTCTTGATGGGGGCTCCATATTACACAGCCTTGCTTTGGCTTATCAAAATGCTTCTTGATGCAAGGAAGGTGCAAGTTTGGCAGCTTTGTGCTGCTGGAGGCAAAACCAAGGGAGCCGCCACAAGGTGGTTGCTTGAGGGTTCTTAATGGCAAAGAAGCCTGCTTTTGCGAGCCCCTTGGAAATGCTTCTGTGCAGGGCAAAGCTGCTTCTTGCAGAAGGGGCCAGGCTTTCTGAAAAGGCTGTACGAAATCTTTTCAGGGAACCTCTCCGCCAACCCCACTAGTGCAAAATCGGGGTGGGGATAAACCCAAGGGTGGCTTCGGAACTCTCAACACGTTTTGACGTGATGCTCTTTCACTGCTGTGTGACCGCAAACAACACTGAGAGCACACCGCGAGAGTGGAGTGCATAAGCGCACGTAAGCACAAATTCCCCCCTGGGACGCTCATTGCCCTTAGAGGGGGGTGAAGTATCAAACATATTTCAAAGAAAAAGCGCAAATCATAGCTGCGGCCCCCGCACCCGGAATTCAAAATCTGCGTGGGCCTTGGCATTATTGTCCTTTCAATTTAGGCCGAAACACTCTTGCAGCTTCCTTCTGAGACTTATTCCACCGAAGCTCTGCTTCCGAGATCTTGCTATCTACTTCTGAGAATTCTTCCACCGAAGCTCTGCTTCCGAGATCTGGCTATCTACTTCTGAGAATATATGTTTTTCCACTGAAGCTCTGCTTCCGAGATCTTGCTGTCGACTTATAAGGATTTCTTCCACTGAAGCTCTGCTTTTGAGATCTTGCTGTCTGCTTATTACACATCTTCCACCGAGGCTCCTCAAAGACTAACGTTTCAATTTGCAACCAGTCCTTCTTTGAGTTTATATGGATTGTACAAGTCGCAACCAGGTTCCTGGACCGGTCAAACACTAACGAAAAACGGGCTTGGTTGAAGTCATGCTTTTATCCCAACCGCATAGGAACCCGCACAAGAGATGAGCTAACCCATGATTGTTGCATCTCCGAGCATGGCTACCTATGTCATGTTCCATGTGGTTCTGGTTCCGCGCCATTCGGAATCACTTCGGCTCTGAAGGTCTTTTGGATCAGTTGCTGAGCGTGGTTGTCATACCGCATTCCAAACAAAGCGCTGAAGCTGTGCAGCAAGGTGACCAATCAGAAACATGATTAGGTTGCGGGGGCCAGCAAGCGTGGCGCGGAGCCGCGAAAGCGTGGCGCCGGGAAGGAGTGGAGTGGTGAAAGCGTGGAGCCGCTGGTGGGGCCGCGAAAACGTAAAGCCGGTGGAGCCGTGAAAGCGTGGGGAGCCGCGGATGCGTGGAGCCGTGAAAGCGTGGAGCCGTCAAAGCGTGAGCCATGACGGCTAAAGACGGGAAAGTGTGGAGCCGCTAAAAAGATGTGTGGTGATACATAGCAGCATTGTGAGACAAAAGCTTTGCAGAAGTATGATCACCTTTCACTTAAAATACGCTTGGTGGATTTCCTGCGTCTCGCGGAACCGACATTCATTTCGCGAGCGCGGTGGCCCGTGGCGAGCGCAGCAGCCCGCGGCGAGCGAGCGCAGCGGCCCGTGGCGAGCGCAGTGGCCCGTGGCGAGCGAGCGCAGCGGCCCGTGGCGAGCGCAGTGGCCCGTGGCGAGCGAGCGCAGCGGCCCGTGGCGAGCGCAGTGGCCCGTGGCGAGCGCAGCGGCCCGTGGCGAGCGCAGTGGCCCGTGGCGAGCGAGCGCGGCGGCCCGTGGCGAGCGCAGCGGCCCGCATGCGTAGCGAGCGCATTGGCCCGTGGCGAGCGCATTGGCCCGTGGCGAGCGAGCGCAGCGGCCCGTGGCGAGCGCAGTGGGCCCGTGGCGAGCGCGGTGGCCCGTGGCGAGCGAGCGCAGCGGCCCGTGGCGAGCGCAGTGGCCCGTGGCGAGCGAGCGCGGCGGCCCGTGGCGAGCGCAGCGGCCCGCATGCGTAGCGAGCGCATTGGCCCGCATGCGTAGCGAGCGCAGTGGCCCGTGTGCGTAGCGAGAGCGCGCGCGCGTGGGTGTGTGTGTGTGTGTGTGTGTGTGTGTTGTGTGTGTGTGTGTGCGCCTAAGACACGTCCTTATAAAGGCTTCCTTATAAAGGGCTTCTTTGAAGGCTTCCTTACAAAGGCTCCTCACAACTGTGCTCTCATAAAGGCTTATATGAAGGGAACCGCAGTAAAGACTCCTCGCAAGGCTCATTATAAACGCGTCCTCATAAAGACTTCCTTATAGGGGGCTTCTCATAAAGGCTTCTTTATAAGGGGCATATTATAAAGGCTGCCTTATAAAGGGCTTCTTAGAAAGGCTTCCTTGTAACGGGCCGCCCTTATAAAGGCAGTCAAAGTGACCCAAGAAACGGACACTGCGATTCGCTTGTCCGTAGGGGGGGGGGTGTTGCCGGCAAATGTACCAAGGAGGTACCTCGCACATATATATATATATATGCATACAAGACATATATACACTATATGCTGCATAAATGCCTCGATACATATGCATATACAAATAGGTCTATCTACATATATATATACACATATATAGATATATATATATATATATAGGTAAGTCTTGGGAAAAGCAAATTAGCGCGGATGTTCGAGGATTCCATGCAAAGAAAACCATGTTGAAATATTACTACCAGCTATGCCCACATCCCTGCTTCCCCAGCATCCCTACTTGTTTGTTTGCCTGAAGTCCCCTGTTCTAGTATACTCTATAGTTGGAACAGGAACAGGCGTCCTCCCAAAGCAAGTTGAAGTTCAGGGCAAGAAACGCCCTTTGACACACCATCGTCATCTCTGCAAAGTCCGAAAAGGCGATTCAAGGGCGCTTCCGTGTGACAAGGGTGCAAGCACTGGGGCGATGTGAATCTCCAGCTCGGACGCTTGCAGTCCACAAAGCACACGTCAGCTCTTTCTGAAGCGGCCCGGCCGTTTGCGCACAACAGCTTTTCTTCAACCGCAAGATTCTTCACGAAGGAAGTCTTCAACATGCGCAAATACTTCGCACCGGACCAAAGAGTCGTCTTTCCCAAAAGACTCTGACGTTGTAGGAGTGCTAGCAAACCATAGCCGTTTCAAGAGATCATTTCAGTGGCGTTTCAGAAACGGTCCGCATAGCTCACAGGTTCATCAGGATCCCCCAGCAAAAAAGTATAACTTTTTCTGGTTAAAAGGACATGTGAGGGGAATCCAAAAAGTTAGAGTCTGAAGATCCAACCCAATAGCAGTAGAGGAAAGGTCTAGAGAGATCAGCCCGTGCCCAGCCCTTGTGCACAAATCTTCTGGTTGGAAGGAGCTCTCCCTTTGGCGGGCACCCGGTCAGAGTGGAAACATACTGGGTGAACGAAATCTATTCTGAGAAACCCTGGAATGATTGTTCCCAACAAGCAATGGGTTTTCCATGGTTTCAAAGTGATGCATGGATATTTAAAATGCTTGATTCACCAGTCCCAACCCCACCTCTGATCGAGCATCTTCAGCATCTCCACCCCGTTGGCAAAGCTAAGCCCTGCGAAGCGTAACAAGCACACGGCTCTTCCGATGTCAAGATCTGGTCGGCTAGAAGGTTGGCAAAGGAAAAGGAAACCAGGACCCAAGACCTCCATTTTATGAATTCCCTGAAAACATGAAAAAATACCAGTAGTGATAAAGTCCCTTCAAGACCAACAGGGGACATAACACATATTCATAAGCAAATGGAAGAAAACCAATGGTCGAACGTTGTTTGGTCATTCTTTTGAGGTTCGGAGCAACCCTGTGTTTCCTGTGGGAATCGGACCCTAGTCCGAGAAAGAGTTCCAGAAAAGCCGCGGATGGGTCAGAAAGCATCCAAACTGTTTGCTCACCAAACATATCTTCCTGCAAGGTTCAAAGTCCGTGGGGGGCTAGCTGTTCTTTGGAGAACTTAGCCTCTGAATGGTGGTGCAAAGGGAAGCCATCTGCAAAAAAGTAAAGCTCTGCAACTAGCCGGAGTGCGTCACAGCGCCAAACCGTCGAGCTGATTTGTGGTTCTACCAACACGGTTTCAAAGATTTAGATAGGCCTTATCATGACCCTGGTCAAACCAGGAAGTAGAACCACCTTGGGGTTGTGGGCACACCTCACTTGCGGCACACCATGCAGATCCCCTTACCCCTATTTGGTGGTTTGGTTTGGATGTTCGGTACCTTCCCGCGTTGGTTTCACAAGCAGCTGGAGTTCCACTCCCCCCACCAATCCAAATCACTAAGGGCTGAAAGCATCACTTCGGCCGCAAGCCCACAGGCCAGGCTCCAGCAGATATAGGGCAGAAAAGCCCTCTCCCCCATCTCTCGTGTTTTTTGTTGGTTGATTTTGAAGGGACAAGGCTTGAGTGGATTGCTTTCCCAGCCAAAAAGGAGTTCAGCCCTATCTGAAGGCCTAGGTGAACATGCGAAAAAGCTGCAACCAGTTGCCAAAAGTGTGTCGAATCAGTGGCCTTGGTACATTTTGGGGGGGCACCCTTTTCTCACTCCCGAGCCCAAACCAAAAGCGATTCTCGTTTGGGCGCCACAGTGGGAGCAACCAGTAAATCAGTTGCCTAGTGAAAGGGAAACAACAAAACAACAAGCAACACGTGGATGAACAGGGGAACCCTATTCAGCAGAAGAGCAAAAGTACAAATTAAGAAGACAAACTTCCCTGCCCGTTGCAGGGTTCGGCATGGCGACGCGCCCATTGAGGCCTTGGGTGAAGAGTCGTCGGGGATAGATCACCTGCCGACTTTCTCCCAAACATCCCAGTTGCAAGGGGCCCGTTTGGTAGAAACAGGTCTCCATCTCAGTTTGAGTGGCTGTTCTCGTGATTCCTTGGGATTTCCGGACAACTTAGCCCCTTGGTTGATTTCGGCCTTTAAGAAGGGATGAGGCTCGAATCCGCTGAGCAACTTCAGGGTTTCCAAGCGCCCCAAAGCTGCATTGTTTTGGAAAAAAGCTGTACGCAACTTTCGCACACTACCTCATGCTGCCTTTTAGATATATTTTGCACATAGGATTATAAACAACTTGGTAGCGGTTTGCGGGCAGTGGGTGGTAGACACGTGCTGAAAGGGCCTGCATCTCGAGTGAGCTTGCAGGTAAGGAACCCTGGTAAAATCGGAAGGAAAACCAAAAGGGTGGCTTGGTGGCTGGCTTGCTTGACCCCTCCGCAAATAAAACTCCTTCTGGGTCCAATTTGCGAAAATCCGAGCTGTTCCAAATCTCCAGACCACCCGGGGTGCCGGATATTTGAAGAACACGCTGCGCAACAAGAAATCACCTGTAACTAAACAAAGCTGAGCCTCTGCTTGCATAGTACCTGCAATTCAAAGTGGGTTTGCCTTTACCTGGGCGAACTGCTCGGGGTTTCCGCCCAACAGGCGCAATTGTCCTTGCAAAAGGTTCGCCCAAATACATTCCCGTGCAGGGCTTCAAGCGCTGCGCCAAACCCAAGGTCTGCTACTCGGATTGGCCAACTAAGTATAGGGTGGCTAAATGTTATAATTGGACTGGAAGTCGTGGGAACCAACAACATAGATCAAGTCATGGCCACGAGCAAATGCTGTTCATGGTGCCCCTTGTTTTACCCAGACCATTTGACCGTTTCAACTTAAGGGTCTTGTGAATGGACGAGAAGCCCAGGCACCTCCTTTTACCCATATGAGTCCGGTCCAGTAGACCTTTGGCATACATAGCGCGGGCTACATGGCAAGCGTCAAGCAGTCCCGAATGGCTCAGCCTCCCTTTGGATTGCTGAATTCGAGGTGCTCCGGACTTCCCGTTTACCTTCTAAAGTTTCCAAGGGCCCAACTCCCACCAATCCGAAGCACCAATTCGAGGCTACGTGAGCCGCGCGTCAATCCCTCGCCTCCTCGTAGATTTTCAGCTGGGACCAAGAGCCTTCCAGCCTTGGAAGGCAAAATCGATCTCGATATCGCGCCAGTCCCTGGCTGAAGCACAGCTTCCCCTGTCAATGGTCAGCTTTCTGATGGCTAGTGGTTTGGTGGCCAAGGGTTACCCTGTCCAGTAACATGGAACCGTTCCGGGGTCCTGGAAAACCATTTTCCTTTAACATGGACCTCTGGTGCATTCCTCGTTCGTGGACAGGAGGGTACCTGAAATGAATGTGGGTCAAAATTAAACCACCAGGATATGGACCGCAGGTTGTAGTCCAAGTTTCCATTCGTCAGGGTTCCATTTTGGGTACGCATTTTTGACCCACAGCCAAATGATGCCCCACCATAGCCCTGGCTCGCACGAAGCCCCAAATCCGCCGAACCACTCTCTGAGGCAAAGCGCCCCAGCACGCGCAGGCCAGCCAGCGCGGAGGCAGGCCCACCTGAGAGCCCGAAAGAGATACTGTGGATGGTTGCGAAATCCGCTTCTCGCAGCACTTTGAAACCATGGTTGAAATCAGAACCTTTGTTGGTATTTAGAGGGGAATCATGATTCCAGGGTTGCTTGGAAGGTGCAGGAATTCGTCCATCCACAGTATGTCCAAGAGTCCTTCCGTTGGTCGCCGCCATTCTAGGGGTTGATTCCGATTCCATTATTTTCAACAATTGTTCTTTTTTTAAGAACCGATCTCTGTTTCCCCTGGGGTTCTGATGGTCTTCTGGCAAGAAGGATCCCTGGAAAGAATGGGAAGTGTCCCCTAGAACCATGTTTGAACCACTTGCCTTTAAACTGACTTGCTTTTGTTGCACTCACTTGGAGGGCTAGAATCTTTAAACAAAAATAGCCTCACCGCTCACCCAGGGAATCACCCAACGAGGCAGCCCGAACCACTTTGGCAGAAGAAGGTGCGCCTGTCCCACATGTTCAACACCCAGCGGTTCAGCGGCACTTCTTCTTCCCCTTTGTTTGGTAGCTCTGTACAGGGTCACTGCGCAATTGGAACCCTTGAATTTGGCAGGAGAATCACACAATATCATAAGCCACGTGGCCATGGGTCAAAAGCCCGTACCCTCAGTGAACATCCCAATCCCCACTAAAATAGACAAAAATAGGTGGTGCACCCACCCCAAAATGGTACCATTGGTCTTGACCCACAGCCATGTGTTCTTTAACCGCTTCATTGTTATGTGCACTAGGCAACTCAGACGATTAAAGCCTTTGTAGCCAGTAAAACTGAGGGCTCAACTTCCTGCCAACTTCCCAACACCGGGCCGCCGGCAGAAGGTTCCGTTCTGCTGCGGCTCCCAAGCCCTGCGCCAACGCTCGAAGGCCTCAGAAATTTCGACCTCCGTCAGAAGCAGATCGCATCCGCATCGCCCGAAGCCAACCTCTCCGAAGAAAAGAAGGAGTTGAAGACTTGCGTTCATTCATCCTAATGAATATATATATATGCTCTTTTTTATAATTAGTGTATTTGTTGCACTTTGGCTCGCAGTGGGCTTTTCAACAGGGCTGACCCGGCCGGCCCCAGACGTATGGGGCCCGAATTGCACGAAACGCGACTCCATGCGCGTCATGTTCTCCCAGGCTTGTGTTGCTCAAGATTTCATCGTTTTGACACAGTGGAACAGTGGTATTTGAAAAAAACTCCCTCACACTTCCTAGACCGGAGAACTATGACACAGCCTGCTTTGGGGGGCGGGTTAACTTATCCCTTCCCTCTTCATTCCTTTTGCGGGAGTTTCCCTGCAAGGAAACCACAAGGAACGGGTTTGGTGTAGCCATTCCCTCATTTTCTGCTTCTCGTTGACTCTCCTTGCATCCCGTGACCCCAACTTCGAAGCCCGAAACCGCTTCGGTGGACTCCAAACAACACCACTCTGGGTCTGTCCTTTTTTGGAGGGTACCCGGGTACCCATCTTCTATGGTTTAAAAGCAGGTTTTTTTGGAGGGTACCATTTTTGATGGTTTAAAAGGAAGACCACAATGGAAGGATCCACCATTTTGAGGGGCCGACCGCAAAACGGACAAACCAACCTTCAGGTCCCCCAATGAAAACACATCGCAGCTTAGAGCCCGGACAGCTTGCCCCTCTTGGGGCATCCTGAAGACGGCTCCCCACAGGTTTGGGGTGCGACCGTTTTAAACGTGTACTGATTGAATCGGACGTTTCTGGGCGTCGCAATTGGCATGGGAGGCTCTAGATGCTGTTTCTCACTGGTGATTTCCGTGTTGACAAAATCCGAACATCTGACGTTTTTCGATTAAGATTGGGGCAGCTTCAGCTCAGCAACTCAATCCAAGAGAGGGGCAACCGAAAGACCCGGTTGAACTGTGCGAAGGGAGAAGACGGTTGAGTTGCCCCAAAAATACAAAGCCCATCCTGTGTAACTGCAGGAAGGTCCCGCTCCCTACACTTCAAGGGGATTCGTGGCTGGGCCATGTTCGCCCCCACGATAAGTACACATCTCATCGACCGAATGAGTTCTGTGAGCGCGGCTCTCAGACGCCGTGCGCTTTTCACTGTCAAACGAGAAACTGTCTCCAACTCGGCTGGTCCTATTCGACCCTGGGATTTGGCTAGCAGGTTGCAGAAGCAGATTTACTAGACCCAGCCACAACGCGCCAGTAGCTTTTCCAAGCGCATTGGTGCGCGTGGATCGTCAAAGTGTCGAACCCCGAAAGTTCCACCAAAGGGCCCTGGAATTTAGGAAAAGGACATGCTTATGTCAGGTGGTTTTTGAAGGCGAACTCCAGTGGAGGTCTCGCAGTCCACTAACAGTATGTTTGTGCGGTGAAGCGTGAGGACAGCGGGTCGATTTTGGGGGCTGCACGCCCGGCGCGCCCCCTGAAAGTTGCGATATGTACCAAAACACAAGCCGCCGGCCCGGCGAAAATTCATGCAGTGACAATTCAGAACTGAACATTAGCCGAGGTGTTGTACACACATACCTACTTGCAGGACAGGAAAGCGGGAGTCCACGCTCCAAGTCACGAGGAACAACCACTATTTCTTAGCACCAAGTATGTTGAGCTCCAACAGCTGGTCATAGCATCGTACCTGATAATCACTGTCCAAGGTTGTGTCCAACATATCCTGCAAGCCGGCGATGTGCATTCGGCGCTAGAACACTTTGCAATTGAAGGCGGCGCGTCGGGAACCAAGGCACGCGGTCAGGTTTGTTGCTTCTGACGGTGATTCGGCGTGCCAACAGGTTTTTTGGAACCATGTTTGCTTCTGACAGCAGAGTGCATCCTTTCAGCTTCCGTCTTGGAAGTGGAGGCACGTGACGGCAGGTGGAAAGAAAGTCGCAAGCAGCTTGGCTGCTTTGCTTGAGGAAACTGCTCGTCGTCATGTCCCTTGAACATGGGGCTTAGGGCAACGCAAGTGGGTCAACTTTTCAATATCCACTCACTAAATACCATGATATGCTTACCTGGCCAGACTGAATCATGCGCCCTGTTCAAAGTCAGCTTGTTCCAACATTCATTGGTTAGAGCAACACATAGGGACCCCCTCCCCTTATATACAGGGGCAACAAAGCAACAGCTTGGTCAAGTAGCTGCAAGTCATTTACACCAATTCCAACTGCTGACCTACATCACGGGTTTTGGCTCGTTCTACCGCCGAATCGGTGATCTTGCAACAAATCATAGGAGGTCTGGCAATGATTTGTCCCTTACATTATTTGCACATGTCCACCACCCATTCAGAGCGTCCGTACATCGCCCGTACATTTCAGTTTGTTTTCTAGATCTCTTTTCCATTCTTTTCGAAGCCCAAAGGAACCCGTACCCCCCCATCCGCCAACATGCAACCTCACGCAGAACCCCTTGACGACCATTCTCCGCCATCGTGGGCCCGAGAAGCACCCCACGACCCACCTCCCCGTGTCTCGCCCGAAGCGCGCAGTTGCGCGCTGTCCTGCGCAGCAAGGCTAGGCCGTCCACCTCCTCCAGGGCGGCCACCTGAGGGGCGCCCAAGGCGTTTTGGTCCATCAGGGATCCTTATATACATGATACTATACACCTGAACGTTGCCTTGTCAATGGTGGTGTCCCTTTATCTTGCTGGAAAAAGCAACATGATTCAAATGGTTGCAAAATGAGATCTTTTAAGGAGCCCTGTCTGCGCCTTTTCCTGGTAGGGGTGGTTCCGTCTCCGAGAATACCCGCAAAAAACCAATGAGCACGGAACCGTTCAACGTTGCGGGGTCCCAGTTTCGACCATTGGCCGTTTAATGAAACCGGGTCCTGAACGTCAGGTTCCATGTCAATTGGTGCGAGTGTACCCTTTTCGCTTTTTGGTGGTGGCTTGAAGAGAAAGGAAAACAACCATGAGGTTTACATACGGCTTGTAGGCCTCACGCAACGCGAGAAAAGCCGACTTCTGAAAATCGGCAAGCCTCAGCTTCACTCAAAAGGGGGATTGCGGTTTGGAGGGCTTCCAATTTTAATTCCGGGGGTTGTGAGAAAAATTGTGGGAAGGCAGCTTCCAGCGACCAACTGTCGACATGTTAGCAGGAACAAAAAACTGCCCTGCAGAACGAAACCAGTCATTGAGCCTTTCGAAGGGTGGCTCACTTGCTGACCCTATCCACGTTGCAACCTGAGAGAGGGACTGCTGGACAATGTTGTTGGGGTTCTCCAAAAGGAGCCCTCGTGTGCATTCCATAGGGACCCCAAGGAACCACCGGCCCAGCTTCCCATCATAGACCTGGGTTCTTCAAATGGGGTTGATCCCTCATCCTAATTCGTACTTCCAAGGGAAACAGCTCCGCCAAAATGATACAAACTTGTTTCCGGCAACCAGCAGAGATCAGCACACAAAGGACCCCCCCCGTTTTAGTGGACTGCTCCGGCCAAAACTGCTATATTCTCAGACCTGAACTAACGAATCCCTCGGATCTCTGTGGTTCTCGTCTTTCCGTTCGGTGAGCTCCCGAACAAATCGGACCCCCAGAAAACATAGCATTGAAGCAAAAGAGGCGGGTGTCTCTCGTGTGAGGAGACCCCCCTCCAACAAAACAAAACAGTGTTTTTTCCTTTGAAACCAACCAAACGTCAGCTTCCCTCTGATTGGTGGTTTGGATAGACTTGGCGGAAAAGGATGGTTCCCATGCACGAAAACCAAGTCCGACTCCGAAGACCAACCCAAAGCACCAACCCGACAGGGTGGCCTTTGGAACCAAATTCATGGGATGAGATGCGAACAGGGCCAACCCTCCAACCCTCCACAGTGGTACCTAAAAAAAACAGCGTGTGTTTTGCCCTAAGGCAACCACACCTCAACTTCCCTCTGATTGGTTTGGTCTCCTTCAAGCACCGCGCCACATACCTCACTTCTCACCTGAGAGCCTCAAGGGCTTTTCCAGGGCTCCGGCGGCTCCGGCTTGGCGCCTCGAGATCTTGCGACACGAACAATCAAACAACGCCCTTCTCCAACCAACAAAAAAACAAAACAAACAAAACAAAGCAAAACAAACCAAAACAAAGCAAAGCAAAGCAAAACAAAGCAAAACAAAGCAAAACAAAACAAAACTAACTAACCAACTAACCAACCAAGCTAGCAAACCAACACATCCGCACTGGAGAGCAAAGAAAGAAAGATCAAAGCAGCCCCAGGCAAACCCAAGGAAGCCACAGCAAAGCTCTACTGGATCCCTAAACCCTACCGATGACTTCCACTCGGTAGAGAAACGGGTACCATTGAAGCATTAACCTCAGCCACAAGAGAAGCACACCCAACTAAGCGGCTCTTTACTGATTCATGCTGTCTGTTCGTGCCATGGTTGGACTGGACACTCCCCCAGCTCTTTACTGATGATCTGATGCTTTACTGATAACTCGTGGCTTCTTGATTCCTTTTCGTGCCATGGTTGGACTGGGACACTCCCCCGAACCCCAATTGAATCAACCTGCAGGGGGATGCTTGAAATTGCCAAGAAAGCAAACTCGCTTCTGCATATATTGGCTTCGCCCAAGAGGAACATGTCATGTTGAACCCAAAAGGCCCCAAAAGTGAACACAGCATACTTTCTTGGGTCATTTCGTGGCATTTCCCGCGCCTCACCCCAGGTCATGTCATATTTCAAGAAAGGACATGTTGCCTAATCCGTGCAACACAAAGCGCCTGTGAACGCAGTTGTCTTCGTCAGCATCATGTCAAAACAAGACATTGGTGTTTGATGAAAACACTTCCTGGTTGCTTTCAAGCAGATATGCAACATCAGCCGATTCAATCGATCTGGGTGAGATACGCAAACTCACAAATTGAACATAAGCAATCTCCAAGTAAAGCCTCTGGGGTAAATCGCTCATCCTTCTAATATTTGGTGAGCTCGTTTGAGTTGACCAAGTGACACCTTCAGTTCCGCTGCCCATTGAATCATGATACGCCCAGGTACTATGTAGAAGGAATGCGCCACTCTGAAACCTTGAGGAACCACTGTTTGTTGGCTCTGGAGGTATTTCCAGGGGAATCATCCAAAGCCACTTACAGGATTTCCTGCACCCCCGGTATTTTCACAAAGGGCCCGCCATCCAGCTGGAACCGTTTTCCTTCATAGAGCCCTGGCCATAAGCTTTGGAGCCACGCAGGAGCGTTGCGGAACTCTCCTGGGGTGAGAGCGGGGTGAGAGCGGGTAGGAGCCGTGGAGCTCAACCCGATGGAAGTCACGCCAAACCCCAAAGCACTCCAATGCTTTGGAAGCACCCGAAAATCACGGTGATACTTCTGAGCCATGGCTTAGATTTAAGGCTGAGAAAGGCGGTTTGTGGCTTACACTCAATGGGTAGATATATATATATATATATACATGTATGTATGTCTTACACAATATGTACATGTTTATCTGTACATATTTATACATATGCACACACACATAAATATATATATATATACATATGGCTAGGAATATGCCCATGTGGGGTATGAAAGGACCAACTGAGGTTTCTCAAAAAGGTTTGACTAGAAATGGGAACTGGAATGTGAGAGTTTGATGCCGCCAAAGTGAGTCAAAGGGATCTCATTTTAAGACGTGATCCACTCCGGCTTTGAGTTTAACTCCATTTGGGAAAGCCAAGAATAGGACCTTGGATAGCAATTCCCCCCGCGACTCTCTTACTGGGTGCAGGTGTCCCCTTAAAAACAACAACCCTGATCCATATTTCCGCACCAAATTGGGGCCCAACAACCGCCCTTGGGTGGCTCTCTGCAATTGGGTAATCTAAACTGGGGCACCCTCGGTGGACGCTGCGAACAATGGGGATTCTGTCCGGCTATTTTGATACCCCGGTCATAGCCAACTCCCAGTTTGCAACAAAATAACCCGTTTTGGGTTTGCTCGCAGCAAAAAATATGCCAAACATCACCACTGAACAACTGAGAACACGCCACGCAACGTTTGGACTCACTCTGCCAAGCAATATGGCGGGGGTTCTCAACATGGTACACCCCTCTTTGGATGGTTTTAAAGGGAAGCCAAAAGCAAACCACAAACTGAGCGCTGTTGTGCGAGCCTTGCAGGCAAGGGTCAGTCCAGCGCGGACAGGGGCATGCACGGCTCATTGGCTCTGTGGCCAATTCACACAGAAGAGTACTTGCTGATACAAAATGATCCCCAGGTTCATTCCCTCATTCAAAAAAAGAGCACCAGCAAGACTGGATTTGAGGGGTCCTGTATTTTGAGAAACGCCGATGCGCCTGTTGCATGCGTTTAGCCCCCGGCTCCCACCGGCCCGAAGCCCGCCTGGCGTCTTGCCATAACGTCAAGCGCTTGGCCGTTGTTCTCAACGCGTTTGCCGAGTCGCGGAAAGTGGACAGTCTCCCGGTCATCTCTAGGCGCTTGCAAAACACTCCAGTTCACGTTTTGTTCCTTGTTGGTCGTGCTTTTTTTTTCGTGGTTCACGCGCGTCCTTCGTGTTCTGCTTCTCAGTCTTAGCGTCCAGTTCATATGGAAGGGATGGGGCTTGAGGGCCTCGGAGAGTGGAAGTAAAAACGCCCTTTTGGTTTCCTTCTGGGACACCGTTTTGTGATTGCCATTGATTGCACCCGACCATCATGCGGGTGAGCTCATGAGCCAAATGCGAGCAAAGAAAGCTAGTCAAATCTCTCCGGCAAGTTGTTAAGTTTCTCAGGGGGTCTACCCACCGCCCCTTCGAGTTCCTAGGGGGTAGCAAGAGGGTAATGAAGCTGCCACACAGACCCAGGCACACACACACACACGGATACACACAGACACACACACAGACACACAAACACACACACAGACACACAGACCCACACACGCAAAGACACAAGCACACAAACACACAAACACACACACACACAAACACGCACAAACACACAAACACACAGACACACACAAACACACAAACATACAAACACAGACACACACACACAAACGCACACACACAGACACACACACACACAAACACACAAGCACACAAGCACACAAGCACACAAACACACAAACACACAAACGCACACGCACACACAAACACACAAACGCACAAACACACAAACACACACACAGACACACAGACACACAGACACACAGACACACACAAACACACAAACACGCAAACACACAAACACACAAACACACAAAGACGCAAACACGGAAACACAAAAACACACACACACAGAAACACACAACCACACAAACACACAACTTCAGCCCATTCCTGCGGCTTCCATTCGCAAATGGTCCTTGGATTTCTCTCGGCATCGTTTCCAACCCTTTTCCCAACTTTCTCACTCTTGCCTATGGTTTCCCACCTTTTCCTAGTTTTCCGGACTTTTTGCAAGATCCTGCAAGATGTTTCTAACTTTTCCTATTGTTAAAAGATTCCGCCCATGTTCACAACTGTTCCCATGTTTCCCAAATTTTGTCCCATACTTGGTGTGATGTCAGCTCAGCCCAAATCTCATCATGGTCATGTCATCAGTCATCTCATCAAATGACATCATGCCAGGCCAATTCATTCCCACAGGTCCAACAAAGCTCCTGTCACACTCTCCGCCTGAATTTTGTCGGCCTTTTTTAGCCAGGGGTTGCTTGCATTCTCGCCAGGCTGAAGCTTCTTGACTCCCACCCCCATTAAAAAAATATATGGAGCACAAAAAAGACACTCGACAAGAGGGTTATGAGTTGCCCACAATAAACAACCCGACCTGCCCGAACCAGTTCAAACCATAGGTGCATCGAACCCCCACAAAATCCATTGCCCTGCATAGGGTTTCCACACGGCTTGGAAAGAGATCCCCTTTCACAAGAAGGCCCACCGCCTGGCCAAACTGGATAGCCCCTGAGGAGATATCACATCAGAGATCTTTGGCGCGGAAAATAAGTCGCAGAATCTAGCACAGGCTGTACAAATCTGCTTCGAAGGCCACACATCAGCAACTCCAACACAAAGCGTTCACAGCCCAGGCGCAGCAGGGGGCTGTTGCATTTTTCCCAACGGATGAATCACTTAAGCTGGAGGACAACATGTTTTGAATGTGCAATGTGTGACCTGCAAGAACGGGGCGAACAAAAGCACCCCTGTGTCTCGTGCAACCTCACGCAGTTGGCGTGGAGGACACAAACTTGGCGGACCTGTTTGTCCTGTCGAGCTTTCCGCCGCATCTCGGGATCTGTTGTTTGCAACACTTAGTGCACGAACTTCCCAACCACTGTTCTGTTCTTTGCTCCCCCCCCCCACCCCCTTCCGGGCCCCCTGCAAGAACATGAAGAAAACCAACACAAACTGGCAAAATACACTTTCCAACCAGGAATCCACTAGCAAACATGGAACCAGAAGTGCTTTAAATATGCCTGAAGAACCGGGCCACGGAACCAGCAGGATCGGGTGTTGACAAAGTTTGATCCGGATCTGGCGCGTGAGAAACCTGGATGTCAGAAACCAACACGCCTGATCCGCGGATGGGAACGAAAGGAAGCCGACGCCTACAAATCTGGAAGTTTGTAGATTTAGCCCAACTCTCCTGTTTGGGTTGCAGAACGGAAAATTACAGCCTTGTTGAAACAAAACACGGCAGCTCAGTTCACGCGCATACGCAGCAGCAAAGACGGCGCGCAATATTTTGCATCACCGCCTCAAAACACGGGTGGTCTTCAGCTTAAAATCTGAAATTGCCAGCCAGGCTGTTGTCTGACTAAGACGAACTGAAGAAAAGTGACGAAGGGATCGACGCTGGGCTCGAGTACATCACCCATGGTTCGAGTAGCTCTGAGAACAAGCAGACGCAGTGGATGACAAAGGAGCTGCGCCGGAAGTCGTCTCCTTTGGCCGCAAGGCCTGATGGACAAAGAGCACTTGCAGAGTCTCAGACGGCACTCTGAAAAAAGCCTGGAACCCCGCACCTTATGCCCACCGTGGTTGAGCCCGAAGCGCACGCTGATGGCGGCAGCGTGGACGCCATGGCGTGCAAGGTGCGCGGAGCTGTCGGTACCAACTGGCGCTGGAAGACATGGCCCCAACTTTGCGGAGATCAAGGCCTTACCGACGCGCAGTTGGTCAATGTGAAGCGGCGGCGCAGGCCTATCGACCTCTACAGCAGGCGCAAGTCTTGCAAGTGCAGCCCTCCGTGCCCCTCGACTTGCACGACTGAAAACAGTGAAAACGTCTGCGGCAAAGCCAGTATTCGCGCGGTTACAACGCGGAGATTCTCAACAAAGCGTCTTCTCTCCGACATGCATTCAAGGGTCCTCCACTGTTGCAAGCTCCTCAACCAGGAGGTTCTACAAACCTTTCGGCGAAAAAGGAGCAAGCGCTCGGTCAAGCCGTAGCACTGTCTAAGCCACTTGCCAAGTGAGATGGTTGCTTCCTTTAGCGTGCCGCATGTCATGTGCTGTTGAGTAAAAGGTTTTCTGCCTACAGTGCCGTATGCGCAAAACACTGTGCTTTCCCACTTTGCAAAACTATAGTCGCATGGCGGCCCCCTCTCAAAATCAATCCCGTGACTTGTTTCCTCAACATTCCACAGGATTCTCAACATTGTCCCTTCAAGCACTGCCCCGTTTAGAAGAAGCTCCCCTGACAATTGCCCAAGAGGTGATGCTTGAAACCAGCAAAAGCCTGCAAATTCCAAACCCATTCACTCCCTCCCCCCCCCCCCGCGGCCACTTGACTGGCCAGCGCATTCGGGAGGCGAACCGCGCACCCTTCCACAAATGAATATATATATATATATATAGACAGGCCATAACAGAATTTATTTATGTATATATATATATATGCATATATATGTACATGGTTCAACCGGGTAACAAACACAGGCGGTTGGAAGTTGGAAACGCTCGAACTGTCCGGCCTGTCTTTGCGCCGAACCGTTTGGTCTCTGATGTCGTCAAATCGGGGCGTGCGAGTTTAAGCTAATTCAGGTGGGTCTGGTTCACTTGCTTCAGTGGGTCACAACAAAGTCCAACTCAGATCTAAGATCGTTTCCAAAGCCCCCAGAGGAACATGGGATGCTCTTGAATGGCTGTGTATGGCGTCTGAGCTTCGAGGGAAACCATTCTGAGTGTTTCATGCGCCCTTGAGAACTAGCGATGACAAAATATCCCCTGAGCCCTCAGGGGTCCGAGCCGCACGCCCCAAACATTTAAACAGTACCGCAGGGTGGACGCTGCGCCTTCCCCTCTGTGCACGAGCCATCTTCGGCGTTCGAACGGATCCATGAAGGAATCCACAATGTTTGTTCGTTCTCACATGGCCATGGATCAAAATCCCGTACCCTCAGTGAACATCCCAATCCCCACTAAAATGGATTAAAATGGCTGGTGCACCTACCCCAAAATGGTACCAGTGGTTTTGACCGGATTCGGAGATCCCAACTTGTGTACCACTATGGCCCGAAAACATGCATAACGTCCAGGAACTCCAAGAGTGAAGTGAACCCCCAGGTTCCAGAAAGTAAGATTTCGTGACTAGCAGAACCGAAACAACCACTAGTTCAACACCCACCATACATGTAGTGAGAAGCTAAACAACTTCATACATTCTTCTCCGGGGAGTCAATGCACTTAATACTCCACGCCCCCATTCCATCTGTTTGAACGGCCCCCCTTGAATCAAGCGTGCATTGCATTCAAGAGGGGATCCGTAACTTTTTCGGGGAGAACGACAAAAAAATGATATCCCCCTAAGAGGGATCCTCTTCTTTTTAGTCCGCACTTAACATGTCCAACGAATGAAAACCCAAGTCACAGTCACAAGCCGAGTCTGAGCTTGTGCTGGGGTGGCTGGGCCGCCAAAGCACGAGCGCCAGCCAGCGGGCGCGCGCGTCACCACCTACGGACTGGCCCTGGCCCGAAAGTGTGGGAGCAAACCTGCTTCCATGCGGTGCTTCTAGTATCATTGTGTTTATACTTTGATTTGTATTTTTTTATTGATATTATTATTCCGATTGCCATCATTATATTTTCCCGCACGTCTAAACAGATTGGTTAGCTTAGAGAAGCTCATGTTGGAGAACCTGGTTGGCCTACGCCAAACAAAGACCATCACAGACCCAAAGATCAGCGCACAAGGCCTGTCTGCCGTGGAATTTTGGCACCGCCCCCTTTAAAACCCAGCCAACAAGGGTTCTGATCAAAAAAGGACACACAATCCTCAGGCCTCATTTAGTCTCTGGATTGAGAGGTTGTCACCACTTGGGGAACCCCCGCTTAAACGATGTGGATGGTGATATGCAGTTGGGCAAAAGTTGAAGGGGGGCGCAATCGTCCCATATTGGTCGGGTCCTTCCCTTTGGCCCTGGTGTATTCTTCATCGACCCTTGATCATTCTAACAAAACTTCTTGGAAGGATCCATAAATGGCTTCTTGGATGCTTGAAACACATGACTGTCCCTTGGCGCAGGCTGGACCCCGTTTCATCGAACCCGGGTGAGCTTTCTGAGTGATTGCAGCCCGCCACTTCCGTCGGGCAAGCGGGCTGGCGAGCCAGCTACGGTGAAACGAAAGCGCCTCAGCGCGCCTCAGCGCTCTGTTCACGGGGAAGTCACTGTCGACCCCCGTCCGCGTTTCGCCTGGACGGCAGATCTGGCGCATCCGAGAATTTCGAACCTCTTTGGCTATTCCCAATGGAAAGTTGAGCCACGTAGGCCAAACAAACATCCAGCATCTGGAACCAATGAACATTCTCATCCACCTTGGGATTCCGTTTCGGAAACAGAAAGCATAGCTATTCACCCAGAGATGCTGGGCAAAGCCCAGGATCCGATTTTCGATGGGAAACTACGCGTATCCCAAAGGATGTGCCTGCCTCACAGCCGCAACCAGGGAAGGGATACTTCCAGTCATAGACATGGCTTTGGGGGAAACAAAAAACTGATGAGGTGTCACAGGCACAAGCAACCCCTGCAGCACAAACTTGCAGAAATGAGGGAGCATGAGGATTCTTTTCAAGCGGGGACATGTGCTTTCCGCTGACGTGTGTACTTTACATGTAGAGGTTGGTTCCACGTGTAGAAGTTTGGGTGTCCTGAGGAAAGGACCCCCTCCTCCGTTGATATCCTCGCTTGCACTCCCAAAGTAGTCGAAACTTCGCACGCAGGATGCCGAAAGGTGGGAAGGAAGCAGCGTTGAACGAGATCCAACCGATAGAAACCAAATGATTGAAAGTTGTTCAACGACGTTTTCTCGGACAAAACAAAAAACAAGTTACCTTTGCAGAGCCCCACATCAGGCCAGAGCTCAAAGAAAAAAAGAAAACCGCACGAAAGAAATCTGAAAAACATCACTCACATGCTGCAAATGGTGATGCTTTGAGTGATGGCTAACTGAGGAATCATTGACTTGCTGCAATCACTCTGGAGCCATCTGAAAACATCACTCACAGCGCCCCCCGTGCCTTGAACGGCAGTAGGGGCTGAAGTGCGCCAAATCCGAAGCTAGCTTGCTTGCAAATGCCGGAAGCAACGCTCCAAACTCTGACCAACAAAACTCTTGTCGCTGGCTTCGTTTTTCAGCCGTAGGCCCAAGGCTCTCAACCTTTTCTCACCCGACCGAATGGATCCGACAAGTCGCTGGTTTGTACCCACAGTGATCCCACCAAGTAAAATGGCGAGTCACGGACCTCATAGCATTGCAAGACAGTTCTCAACTTTTGTGCTGTTTAGTGGGAAACAGTCTTCATGTTACCAGGATGAAGTCTAAAGATGCAAGGAAGGGGTGTGCGTCAGTCAATACGACCCCTAAATTTGTGTTGAACCGGCCTCACCGCCGGCGTCGGCCCTTCTTCCGCTCGAGGCTGCGCCGGGAGCTTTTCTGCTTGGCCCGGGCCGCCTTGGCTTCCTCCCAGCTGCAGACATGACAAAACCTCGGTTCTGAGGGTTTTTGTATTACACCCTGGGGTTACACCCTTGCAAAATAACACGGAATTCTCCGGACATGTGCCTAAATGGGGTCAATACCCAAGTGGGTGTATTCCCAGGGTGTAATACAAGAACCCTTAGATCGGTGGGGCGGCCGGAAAACACAAGGTCCTCCAGTAGAGAGGTTAGAATAAGTTGGTACCAACTTTTTTTTCTGCAGTCTATTTAAGTAGGGGAACCCTTCCCCAAACAAGTTGGTCAAAGGGCCTAGAACATGTTCCAAGGCACAAGAAAACCTGCAAACTAATATGGAACCTAGAAGAAGGGGTCGGCAAAGGAAAAATGAGCTTCCTCTATAACATGTGATTTTTTTTGTGGGGGGGTGGGGCTCCAGGGTAATCTGCATGAGTGTAGCAAAAGTATGACAACTAGCTAAATTGCTGGTAGAAACCCAACAGGTGGTATAACCTGTGACTCTTTCATGCGGATACCAGAAACCACAAAACACACCAGTTGGGATGCACGGTTGGGGTGAATACCAAGATAAACCACCTTGTGAAAAAGAAAAGGGGGCGTGAAATTATTTTGAAGAGGTTGGATCCTTGCAAGGAACGATGTCGCTACAACCAATGGGCCTTCATATGCTTCTGAGTTGCTGACAGGGCCTGTAAACAAGGCTCTCCTTTTGGAACCTTATTTCAAAAAATGGACCAACAGGGGAACACCAACATGTCATTTCAGCTCGATTCGCTTTGGACAAGTGAGGCTTACAGAAAGGATCGTGACTTATCCTCGCGTCGACCATGCCTGAAAGGGGCGGAGGTCCTAGTCTGGACGGCATGCTGAAGCTGAAGCTGAAGCCCCTGCTTCCAGTGAGGGTGCCTTTCTGGCGAGTTAATTCTTATACGCCTTTTGCAAGGCCTTCGGTTGTTTTGCTTTTTCCCTCCTTGTGCTGTCCCACCGCTTGCGGGTTGGGATGTGGGTTCCCTCATTTTGCGACTTTGTGCTTTCAGTTGTTTTTTCCTCTTTTTTTTTGGGGGGGGGCGTTGTTGTTTCTTGGTCAGGCCTGGCAAGAACAAGCCCTTGCTGACATGCGGGGGGGAGTTCAAGTTCAACAGATTCTGCAAGGTTCTGCCCCAAACAAGCATATTCCAGGCCTTACACTTTTTGGCACGATGTCCAGGATCAAAGTCTTGCACGGTTCGCTCGACAGTTTTGAAATGGCTCCCCCTTGCTTCAGGAAGCCGGAGGTGGCGGGAGCAAGTCCTATTTGGCTAAAAATTGCAATTTCGTCACCGCCTCCTACTTTCTTTGCACAAATCACCAAAATTGCCGAATGGGCAGAACCAAGCCTGGGATTTCCTTGTGGTTTGACTTACTAACCCGACAAGGTGATTGCCCGCCCATTTCTTTGAAGAACGAAACCCGGAGCTGCCGGGAGCTCTTTGTGCGGCCAAGGTGCGGGCACTCGTCCCCCGCTCGGCATCCCGATTTAGTGAGATGGAAGAAGCGGCAGGGCCTGGAGCGACCGATCCAAGCCCCTTGAATTACTGAGCCCTGTGAGTATGTGGGTGGGTGGGTGTGTGTGTGTGTGTGTGTGCGCGTGTGTGTGTGTGTGCGTCCGTGTCCCGTGTTGGCACGCTTCTGTCTGTGCGCGCGTGCGCGTGCATGTGCTTGCGTGTTTGCATGTGTGGCATTGAGGCTAAGTACAACCCTCGGATTTGGTAAGACTGCGTCAGCCAGGAGTCTGTGGGGGTGGGATGAGTGGATTCGTTGCCACATCCGCGGAGTTGGCCCTCGGAAAGCCTCAAACCAAACCCTCTTTGCAGCTGCGTGGATGTTCGGCCTACATCGTGAAGGACATGTCACAGGCCAGGGTTGTCCCTCTTATATCTTACAACCCACTGGTTCAACCCACTTGCAAACCATTTCTAAGCCAACTGCACCAACCAAAACCAGCATCTTTGATTCTCCATTGGCCCTGAAGCCCCAAATCCCACAACCATTTCAACTGAAACCCCCACACTAATGCCTTCCTGGATGTGTTTTTCTTCGGCGAGGCCTGCAAGTGCCCCGAAGGTGGTTCTCCAGCTGTGCCGACCGTGAGCACTGGATCTCCTCCTCGGACTCTGAAGGTGATAGTCCTCCAATCTGCGTGGCCCCCTTTGCAAATGCCTGAGCCACCAGCTCTTTTGCTCTGGGCTCATACAGTAGAACCAAAAAACATGTAGAATGTTTTTCTTGCCATAAAATTGCGGAAACCACAAAGAACGCGTGTGGTTTCTCTAAATGATGATGGATGAAAAGAACGGAGGATCAACCTTTAGCAACACACCCGCATGCTCAAGCTGCAAAATGCGGCGCAAAGCGAGCACGCACTTCCGTTTCGTTTGCTTTAAACCCGAGGTCGCCTGACCACGTGTATATAACTAAAACAACAACCAATTTGCACAGAGGTTCACCTGACGCGCAACTTCACATGGTATGTGCCATCTACACCCGCCACAAGGTCCACACCCACACCCTCCTGGGATTCTATCAAAGAATTCGTCGCTGGAGGACGAAGCCGTAGGCTCGGGCGTGCCTGGCGCAAGCGCCAAAGCCAGTCGTGATTTCCGTGAAAGCCCTTTTCAACATGACATTATGTGGCCTGAAACTGCGATCAGCAACTGCGATCAGACACAAAAACCCAAAGAGCCCACCCAGAAAGCCAACTAAGCCATAACATACATTTGGTTGTTTGGTGCCGAAAAACAAATTTGATTGGGGGTAAAACAAAACAATCTGATTGGGGGCAAAGAAGCAGGGGAGGCTTCTTGGACCTAATGGCCGCAGCAGGTGTCGAATTTGTGTCCAATGTTCCTCTGAAGATGCAAAGTCTAGGAACTAGTCAGTGAAGAAGTACCCGAACCCTTTGGGCTTCCTTCGGCAAACAAACAAAGGCTGTTTAGCACGGAAGTAAACAATGCCTTGAATGACGCAACTGCTGTGACATTATCTGGATACAAAATTTACTTCGCGAAGCACACAATAAACCCGGATCCTCTTTTGGGACCTTGAAGCTACGCTTTGTCTCGTGGGGCGCGGCCCCTTGGAATATGCATGTTTTTCCCGAACATGCGAATGTTGAAGACCCGAGTTGCAGCGAAGCCTTAGTTGCTCTGTAAAACAACCGTGATTTTTTTCTGGGCACATGTGAGATCCGTCATTCATGCACATACAAATACTGACGCACACAAACATACATGACGTTACATACCATACATATGTGTACATACGTACGTACGAACGTACGTAGGTACGCATGGTAGGTAGGTAGGTAGGCAGGTAGGTAGGCAGGTAGGTAGGTAGGCATATATGATCCGGGTCCGCTCGCCGCAAGCGGGGCAGGGGGGGGGCTGCAAACCCGGATCATATCTATGTATACACACCTTCCTATACATGCGCATGCTCAAATGAAAAACAAAGGAAAAAACGGACCCGCGCATATCTATATATATATATATATATTATGTGTGTGTGTATTCGTGTGCATATGATCTATCCATATATATATATAGCATATACACTATGCGCAAACGCCTGCTCCAGGGGAACTCGGGAAAAACACAACAACAACTACGCGACACGGAAGTCCAAGCAAGGCGGGCGACGCGCCTTCTATCTGTGGCCTGTGTGATCCGTCATCTCCTGCTCTGGACGCATCGCCTGAAGGGATTCCCATTCGCAGTATTTCGCACGGACAACGTGATCCGATTCCTCTCTGGAGTAAAAGTCGATGGCATGATTCCCCAGACCCCCAGAAGTGAGAAAAAATGGGCACTTTTTTGGGTAAATTATTGTAAAGGAAATTCCTTACCAAGCGACAAGGGCACTGATGTGTGGGCAAAAGAGAGCGACACGTACATGGGAGGTTGTACCATCTACTTTCATAAATGGGACACCCCCGCGATCTGCAGAAAATTCCTGGACTCCCTTTACACATGGTCATATGGCCATAGGCGAAGCGCTTCGGTGAAGGAAAGGAAAACCAGCAAATTCCCCCCCCCTCTGGCATAGTAAGCCACAAGCCTCTGGTCCGAAAAATGCCAGGGCTCGCTCAACTGCGAGCCCTGCGAGAAACACTTGCAAGCACTCTGGCACCCAAGCAAGCACCTCCCGACTTACACGCATTTTCTGGCTCCTCCTCAATTTGGGCGGCCTACTCGAAACGTTTTGTCCGCGATCACCTTTTAGATTGCCGAACGGGTCAAACCGAATCCGGCTTCCGAGCCATCAGGACAAGCTATAGGGGTCCCCCCCCCGCCCCTTGAATGGATGCCACTGTCCATTCAAAAGGTGCCACGCATACCCATAGCGAGATGGGAAGAAGGTTGGACTGATCCAGCGCCAGCGATTTAAGCAACTCCCAAAGAGCAGGAGGACGAGAAGCAAATGCAAACTGCAGTTGATTCCAAAGACAGCAAAATCCTAAGTACGCTTCCAACAATCATGGACTAAGGGGTTCCTTGAAAAGGAAAGTTGTTCTCCAAAACCCTCCTGTCAGCTTCTGTGATTGTTGGAGGGAGGGTATCTTTCCTGATGGCATGTCGACATCGTTTGGGCATCTTGCTTTTGCTTGTCAAACTGGGCTGCTCAAAATGGAGGGTTGGCTATCACAAGAGCAAGCACTTCAACGTCACCATGGACTTCTGATGCACATGTTTTGACAATTCCTCAGCGCGTCTCGTTCTACCGAAGCCTTCCGCTACCGCGAAAGCAACGAGTTGAGATCTCCTTCGTTCAGACCCACCGCTTGCTTGAGATTCCACCTTGTATGCCGATGTTTCAAAAAAACAAAAAAGCAAACCTGCCAACATCCAAGCCCACTTGGTTCCCACAGGTTCCCCTCACATCAACGCTCAACTCCGCCCACTCACGGTTGGTTGCTGCCAAGATGCTTGAGAGGACGGGACAGCCAGCTGATCCCGAAACCATGCTGCTAACGGCTGCTTCTTCCAACTGAGAAACAACACATCAGCGAGCGGACCTTCCAATGCCGTGCAAACAGATCTGGAAGACAAATTCCCATTTTCTGGTTCCCTTTTGGCTCGATACTCCTGTGCCCTAGGCTGCTCTTGCGTTTGCGAATAGGATGCGGCTTGGATGCTTTGCTTGCCATTGAAACACTATCCACGAGGTGGTCCCTCAGTTTTCACGGCCGAACCCAAAAAACACATTTCACATGTTGTTTTTGGCCTCACCGAAGCACGAACAAAACCAATCGTAGATTCACCTCTCCTTCTTTTTTGCAAAGCTTCATTCGGCCGGTCAGGGGGTTGGATCCCAAATGGGCCTTGTCTCGCTACAGTCACCCGAGGCTTGAAGCATGCTTAGATTCGGATCGACCGCGGGGATCCGAGCAACTTACTTTTCTTTCCTCTCCAACTGGTTTACCCAAGGCTGCCAAACGTTGTCTGACTCATGTCAAACATCTGGACCCCTATCGGACCTCCTAAGAAAGGGTGGCTGCAAGTATCAGAGGCCCGCTGTGGATTCACCGAGCAGGCTTCGAACGGCAAAGACCTGAAAACTCACGCAGGGCTGAGCTGTCAGAAGGAAACCTCCACCAATGGAGGCCATTTTCAGAGATTGCCGGATTCAAAGGAACCTTTTCTTGAACGGGGTCAAAAAGAAGAGGGGTTCTGACTGAGAACCTTTGTGGCTGAATTTTGTGAAAAGGCAAAATCCATTAACGCAGAGTCCCCCGTGGACTTCCACAGGGAAAAGTGGAAGATGGGCACCCCAAACAAAACACGAAATTGCAAACCGTGGCAGCCCCATCATCCAATGGCAACATCGCCATGGGTCAAGACCCCGTACCTCCAGTGAACATTCCAATCCCCACTAAAATAGGTTCTAAAATGGGTGGTGCACCTACCAACCAAAATGGGATCCCATTAGTTTTGGCCCACGGCCATATTGAGTTCCTCTCACTTGCCCGATTCGCTTTGGGTAACTGAGTCCTTCCAGTTCCGGTGTCGATTGTTCTCGCGGGGAAGGCGCAGGGACTTCAGCGCAGGCCATCGCGCTTCCGCAGATTTGTTTTTCGCTCCGTCGATTCAATGAAATCAATCCGACCAGGGCTGTGGGGAATGGAATCCACTGTGATACAACAGAAAGGGCTTCCCAAGGACTATTGTGTTCATATCAAGGGGGATTCCCAAAAGTATCACAGTGGTTGGAGAAACCACAACCCTGAATCCGACGTGCCAAAATACACCGCTGATTGCTCGCTTGTTCTTCGGCGAATTCCGGCTGGCTCCCACCCTTGTCAGCGATCCTTCTCCACCGAATTGGTTCTAAACGGAATGCGTGAATCAAACGCGGATCAATGGAACAACTATGGAACCATGGCCGAACCTGGATCAACCCAAAAGAAGCAACATTGTAAATTAACTTAGATCTCATCTCCAAATGGAAGACTCCTTCAATTGTGATATTCGTTTGGCCCTCGCACATGCACAACTACCCCAAAAGCCGACGGAAATCCCGAAACTATCGAAGTTCAAATTTCTTGCTTCTAGCTAAATGAATCTTACCCGTTGCGCAGGTTGTTGGGCCTCAACAAAAAGGGCCCGTCGGTGGCAAGCGAAAGGTACTCCATCGCAGTCTACAGCTCGCCGGCAGACACAAAAGCCAAAGACTGGCCAGACTTGCCCCAAGCCGACTTTCTGCTTGAAAGGAACGATGCCGGACAGGGGACCCGTTCTTTTTTTTCCCAACCACAAGCCTGTTTTTGTTGGACCCGCAAACCAAAGGCTAAATGAATCATGAAGGTGGAAAAACAGCATCGTTGTTGGAAAATGAAAGCAACAACGAAGGTCGAAAAGCAGCCTTGTGGTTGGAGGAAACAGGGTCTCCTCAAGCAAAACCAAACAGGCTTTTAAAGCAACAGGTAAGCCGGCTCAAAGCTTGGAAGATGGCCCCAAGTCTGGCAGCACGTAGTTCCTTAGCAAGTCTTGACGACAATGCAAGAACTAGCATGCAGGTGCGTGTGTGTTTTGCGGGTGTTCTTTTGAGGGTACTTGTTTTTTAAAAGAAGGTCAAGAAACTGATTGACTCGGAGGTCTTCCTGAACAAGCCCCACATACGGGGTAAGTGTGGGAAATCACTCAACATGCGAAACACGTCGTAGCTGTCACAGTTCTGATTCCAGGCCATCCACACAAGCATGGACTAAAGCTGGAAAGCAACACATCAGCCCAACTCGCTCAGGTGTGTCTTCCTTTGAACCTGTGCCTGCTTCTCCATGCTTCTCCCTGCTAAGATTTCCACCAAGAGCGACACCAACCTCCATGGAAATAGGACGCAAAAGCCATATGCGGGCTGGTTTCCCTTCATTCATCTCTTGTTTAAGATCCAGGGGCGTGGTGCAGGGTCTGGTGAGACCTTTGAATGTTGCCCCCTTGGCTTGCGTCCCGTTGTCAGAGCCCCGGGTTCCCCCCCCCCAAGCCCGGAAACCATGACAATAGTCCTTGAGTGGGGTTCCACCCCTTCAGTTTTATACAAGGCCCAAAGTGAGACACAAAAGGAGATTCCTCACAAAACTGTTGTGTTTTTCTTTGCTCTGCTTCCTTTAAAGAACGTGAAATACTGGTTGGAAGCAAGACATGAAGGGGTCGCAAAGTTCCAACCACTCTTTTGATTTGCATGTTTGCAGCTTCTATGGTGCGTTGATCCCTTGCTCAAGTAAAGCTTTAGTGTGAATCCCTGCAACATCTGAAAGTCAACAAATGTAACTCAAACCTTCCACTACGCAATCCACTACATTAACAGTTCAGTTGATTGTCTTCATAAACCCCTTGAAACTCTGAACACCCAAACAGCTAAAAGTCAACCAATTCTGAACGTCTTAACTCAACTCCCCACTCTAAAGCGCTCAAACAAAAACACACCTGACAGTCCAAGAGGGACCCGTATGGCTGACAGGTACCCGACCAAAAACCGCCGAAACCGCTGAAAAAGCCAAAAGGGCGACTCGCAAGAATCGCGAGCGAGACGCTGCTCTTTGAGCTTGGCCCGGATCAGCTTCTTGTCGATCTTTCCCGTGCTGGTCAACGGGATCGCCTCCCAAACCTGGTTGAACTCAACGGGTGGGTGGGTGGGTGGGTGGGTGTGGGTGTGGGTGTGGGTGTGGGTGGGTGGGTGGGTGGGTGGGTGGGCGGGTGGGTGGGTGGGTGGGTGGGTGGGTGGGTGGGTGGGTGGGGGTGTGGGTGTGGGTGTGGGTGTGGGTGTGGGTGTGGGTGTGGGTGTGGGCGTGGGCGTGGGCGTGGGTGTGGGTGGGTGGGTGGGTGGGTGGGTGGGTGGGTGGGTGTTTGGGGAAAGCGGGGTCACAATAGACCAGTCACATTTTGACACAACACATCGCTATTATGCTTGAGGCAGTTTTGCATTTTGCCACAAACATGAATACCATGTTTCACCAAACTGAGCTACAAGACGTTTCCATGCTTGGTTGAAGGGTAGTTCAACGGGAATGGAATAAAATGACCCCTATAAACCATCCTCTCTGGGGGAATTTCTAGGTTCGTTCCCAAACCCTGGGTCATTCCCTACCTTTTGCACCAGCAAGACAGTTCGGTGTTGGACAAGTGGCAGGGCTCTTGATTCAAAGCATCTGCACCAACCCTCTGGTCCAGAAGCCCCTTTGAAAGGAAAGTACTCCACGTGGGCACGTGGGGTTCCCATGTTTGTGGACGGCAGGGTAACTGGACAAATGACGCGGAAAGAAGCTCCAGCAAGCTGGTGCTACAGCTCGCGAGAAACGAAAGAGGCCAGAGGGGAAAAACAAAAAAGAACAAACAAAGAAACAAACATGGTCCTCCAGGGGAGTCACAATCAAAACCCGATATTGAAATGGCCTACCCAGAACCATGCAAAGAATTAAGAAGGCGGCCGCAACTATTTCGGGCTAAGACTGCTCCTTACTAACCTTCATCTACCCGGGTTTTGATTGTGGCTCAGGGGAGGGGCGAAGTGGTTCAATCCAGTGGGACCTCACCGTTTTTTTTCTTTAAGCTTACCGCTTCCCCGAGGTCCATAGGGTGCCCAACTACATGCTGGTCCGGAAAAGACCCGATCAAAACTCCGTTGAGTGTTGAGTGCGGGTCCTCTGAGTTCAGCTGTCCTCTTGGTGCTTTGGAGCGTGCTTTGGAGGCGAAAAGGCTTTCCCATTCAGCCTCTAGGGGTCGAACCCCACAACCAATCCAAACCAATTTTTGGGCATCCTCTGAGAGGGCTCTCCAAGAAGTGTGCTCGGACTTGTGGCCGCGTGTAAAGGAAGCGAGGTGCAAGGACGTCATCCGGCAGCTGGAACTTGGCGAAGGCTTTGGACAAGTGCTGCCGCACCTTCTCCTAGCCCAAGAAGTTAGACCAACCCCGTTTGGCCCAACGAGTCTTTCCGGACCAGCCCAAAGTGGCGAAGCATCTCAGCGACACTATCCGAACTAAAAGTTTCAACATCTCAACTCAAAGACATACAAAATCGCACACATCTGAACATCTGAAGAATCTAAAGTCTAAGCATTGAAACATCCAATAATATGGCTGGGAAACGCCAAGTCTCGAGGAGGTTCTCTTTGCTGGCGCCGCTGGCCAAAGTAGCCACCTGTTCGAATCTGCTTGGCAAGGCTTTCCTCAAACATGTTGCGCTATCAAAAGCAGGTACCTGACAAACATGGGTTGCCAAGAACGAGCATGATGGAATGAGGTGGGTTTGAGAAACCTTTCCAGAATTCCACCATGTTTCTCTCATGAAAGATGCTTGACTTCCTCATGGCCAACTTGGGACCATCAAGCAGGCCGCAACATGAACAATCATGCACTTTGCACAAGGGAACCTTATCTTTCAGCGGTGAGCCACTAAACAAAGCATTGGAAGAAGCTGAATGTAACAACCCCGCATACATGTCTCAAATACCTTTACACATGCTGCCCTAGTTCGCAAACCTGAAATGAAGGACCCGCACAAGGAGCCCCACACACACATGTTTTCAGCAATGGTTATTAAATCGAGGCCCCACAAGTACACCCGGAGAAACGCGTAAGGAAGACCACTGGCTTCACTGCTGGCTTCACCAGTGGAAATGAGGGCCACATCTACCGTATGTTTCCCTTTGCTCCAAGCCGCGGGCCGTGGGAATTGACAATAAGCGGATGTGGACTTTCGCTGCCCTTATTCATTGGCCGGGCTGTTCTTCCCCCAACCTCCCCCCGTCCCCCCCTGAACCCAAAAACCGCCCCTGGCCCCCAACGCGTGGCTTTCCAAGGCGCTGCGATGGGGCGCTCGTCCCATCTGGGGTGGGGGATCCCCACCACCGCGGCCATCTCCACCTCCGCCATGCTCATGATCCTCGGAGACAAACAAAAACAAATTCACCAAGCGAAAGGTGAACAAATATGCATTTCTACCCATTCGCATCATGTTTAAATTATGTTCTGTAGGTGGAAGAGACTTAAACATGATTTAAATACGTGTTTCTACCTATCTAGATGTACAAAACCCTGTGACAGGATGCCTAAACATGACCCCCAAAGGATCCCAAAAACAACAAACTCAAAGGCCAAAAGGTTAAAAAGGCCAGGGGTTAGCAGCTATCCAGCAGAGACGAATCCGCCTGGATCGCGAACTCAGAGACTCAGGGAACATGCAGGGTATGCGATTCAGCTTTCAAATCCATGGAAATACACGCGGGGTGCTCAAAGTTTTGGGCCTCCACCTGAACATTGCCTTGTAAATGGTGGTTTCCTTTTTTTTGGTGGATGGGCAAAATGTATCTTTTAAGGAGCCCTGAACAGAACTTCAGCTTAAAAACCAGAAAACCCCTTGAGGTGAGAACAGCTACTTGGGTCTCACAAGTTGCGGCTCGTTCGGATGCGTTCTTTGTGGGCTCTGTTCTTCCAACTGTCTGGTACTCGTTTGGCAAAAGCCCTGTCCACACATCTACTTGATTGTTTTCTCTCTTTCATTTGGTATATCTGTATGCAACAGTTGCAATGTCTTGCAGATTCAAACCTTATTTCAAACCGACCAAACAAATGCGGTATTCACAATATCACAATCCTAAAGCATCCAACCAAACACACATTCACCACCCAGAATACTGGTTGCAAGCTCGCCATGCAATATTCATAGCAAGGCAAGGCGTGTAATCTAAGCCGTGTAAATTGATAAGCTCATCATTATCATCATCTTTTACCGAAACTTCTTCGTGCGATCTTTGACACAAACATGAGGCACACGATGGGCACTCCAAGCTTGAACCTGTCGAGCAGGCCCCGTCGAGTCAGGAGACCGAGCGGGAAGTCCAAAAGGCTGCCGGACTCCCCAAACCTAACCCACGAAGTAAAAAACCACCCTCCCATGTTACTAACATGGAACCTGACAGGGGGGTCCTGGACGACCATTCTCCTTTAGGGACCGGCCCCGAACCTCAGGTTCCGTGCAAATTGGTGGGAGTGTAGGAAAAAGAAACCTAGAGAATTCTTCCATCGATTCATGTTGCCAAGGCGCATGTTTTCCATATCGATGGAGGATATCCACTCTCCTCCCGACTTGACCACCTGCAGTGTCTCTTCTCGTTGTCCAAAAGGGACTCTCCATAACAAATCAACAATCAACCGTTCCCTTGCGCAAGATGACCCAAATCGATCCAGCATTGAAGCACTCAAGGAGAAACAAAACACACCCTTTCCAACAAAGCCCAAAGTCCTAGGGAATAGGTGCAACAACCTTTGCCATTCGCAGAGTATTGCATTCCTACCAAATCGTAGTCCTCTAAAAAAACAGTAAGCGTTCTTTAAAAAATTGCCTGGCCCCACAATATCGCTTGTTTCACCGTTTTTCTTGCTGCGGGCAGTACAAGGTAAAGCCCTTGTGCAAACCGCCATACAACAAACAAACAAACAAACAAACAAACAAACAAACAAACAAACAAGCAAGCAAGCAAGCAAGCAAGCAAGCAAGCAAGCAAGCAAGCAAGCAAGCAAGCAAGCAAGCAAGCAAGCAAGCAAGCAAGCAAGCAAATGCAAGCAAACAAACAACCAACTAACCAACCAACCAATCAATCAACCAATCAATCAACCAATCAATAACCAATCCATGATACCATCAATCCATCAGTCCATCAATCCATCAATCCATCAATCCATCAATCCATCAATCAATCAATCAATCAATCAATCAATCAATCAATCAACCAGCCAACCAGCCAAGCAAACAAGCAAGCAAGCAAGCAAGCAAGCAAGCAAGCAAGCAAGCAAGCAAGCAAGCAATCACGCCCGCGCCCGCGCAGGCGCAGGCGCAGGCGCAGGCGCACGCTCTCGCACCCGCACAGGCACGCGACACACACTACACGCAGACACGCAGACACGCAGACACGCAGACACGCAGACACGCAGACACGCAGACACGCAGAAACGCAGACACGCAGACTCGTAGGCAAGCCAACACGCCAACACGCAGACACGTATGCATACACCCATGCACAAGCAGCCCCACACACACACACACATGCAGTTGGTCCGAAAAGGAAAGAACCTTTAACGTTGCATACTTCTGAGAATTTCGTTAAAATTACAAAAGTATTGAGCCGCCAACTCCAAATAAGCTCTCCCTATCAAAGGAACCTTCAGTAAGGGTGGGGGCACCACCCAAACCGCTAGGTCGACACAATTTGCCAAGAACAATTGTGATAATTCTCGCCGGTATCCACAATCCGTGTACTCTCCTTAGTTGTCTGTGCTTGTGAGGTTGGCCGGGGAGGTTGCAAAGGCTAAACGCACATATGCGCAAAACTGAAACATGACATGCAAAAAGGAAACATCAAGCATTGCGCTCGGGGAAGGCACCAACTATAAATATCCCCAGCTTGAATGGAGGAAAGCTGATAGAGCATAAGGTGATATTTGTTGGCCACATTTTCCTGTAGGCACATGGCAAATTACCAGGCAAGCTTCCTGCTTTTGGGGATGTACTTGGAAAGAGGGTGGAGCTTGAACTGGGATGGGGTTTCGAGGATTGGGGGCGGCTGGGCTCTTGCAGGTATGCGAGGGGCTGCTGGATATCTCATCCTTGAACAGGCAAGGTACTTGGACCCTTTGCGAATACCCCCATTCCAACAATCATGGCCGTGCACAATATCTTTCTTTGACGACTACCGTCGTGAAAATGCCCACATTCCACTTCCATGATTATCATGATTATTGGAAGGAGAGCGTTCCTGGGGCGAAGATAAGGATCCTTCATTGAAGCCCACCAGTTTGCTTGCAAAAGTCGGAGCCTCAAGAATCGGGGGCTATGCTACCACTCTCAAAAGATGACAGTCAGCAAAAACCTGCATTGTTTTCCTTTCTTGTTGTTTTCCTTTTTTTCTTCCGAAAGGCAGGCGACGAACTGACTGATCATATCTGCCGGAGGCACATCTTTGGAACGGTCACAAATCACAATCGCGCCCTCTTCGTCGATCTTTGCAACGTCGCCAGTCACCAGCCAGCCATCGTGAAACTTGTCCGGGGCCTCTGTGTGAAAATACTCCTGGCACCGGCACCGGAGTGCCCCCACCCCTTCCCCCCCCGGCTTAAAGCTCCCTCGTTGCCGCTCCAAAAAGAAAAGCGGCTCAAGATACTCACACACAAAGCAAGCGACCTGCTTTAACTTCGTTAAACTTGCAATCGACATGAGGGTGAGCCGTTCAAACCCCTCTTTCCATGGTCGACCCGAAGCTGACCCTACAAACTATTCCGAAAAAGATAGCATTTCGCTTCATGCATCCCGATTCAACACGCACACCGGGGGATAGAGTTGATCGAAGCCCGCGTCAACAGATTTCCTCTCGCCCAGTGACTCGACTCGACGCGCCTGGATGATCCAAGGGCCTCGCACCAAGAGCTCCCCCGCCTCGCCCTGCGGCAGCTCCACGGAGAGATCCTCCGGCTTGGCCTTGGTTTCGGCGGTTTTGCGGTTTTGGTGTCCTGCTGCCATAGACGGCACACGGAAGGAAAACCCAAACAAAATGACATCTAGTTCTGGTGCGTAGGTGTCCTTTTGGTGCAAATGGCAGTGAATGAAAGAAAAAACAATACTAAAACCCCGTCTAGTTCTGATCAAACCTGAAAAAGGACACCTATGCATGGGTGTGTCTTTGTTTGAGGGCACCTCTGTTTTTGGTTGGTTTGAAGGAAAGCCACGGGGAAAAAACCACGTGGTGTTTTTCTTGGGGAGGGGGAGTCCTTTTGGTTGGGACCCCCTTTTGGTGTTTAAACCAACAGGAAACCATGGCCATTTTGGTTGGACATGGCGCTATGTCATCCATCTGCCAGCGGGTTTCCTGCAGGTTCTATGTTTCAGGAACCCTGAAAAGAAACACCAGGGTGAAACCATGTCCTCTTGGGCAAATAGTTAGCCCTCGTAGATTATGAAGCAGCAACCAGGTCAAGCAGGGTCATCCAATTTCTACCCAAGCAACCTGCAAGGACAATCATGGGTGAAAGTACATGGCAGAATTCCCGCTAGATGTGGGAACGTAAAGGACACTATTAAACCATTCTTTCTTTTTGTACTTTCATCCGGCTGCATCTGCCAGGGAATCTGCTGGTTTTCTTTCTGGACGCGACAACTTGCATTTCAGGTCATACGTACCTTCTCGACCCCTAAGCATGATGGAAACTCAAGAAGGGAACTGCCTAATGGTTTCCCTTTCCTTTGGTGACATATGGGGGTTGTACAAAACTACTTTGCCTGGAAACCCCCCAATCGCCGGCCAATCGCGATCCAATCGCGATTTTACAGATTCCAGTCGCGTTATCTCAAGCGCTGGCCTTCCTCCATCCATACCTCTGGAAACTGGAAGGAAGTGACATAGCTCGGATGGGCAGGGCCTCACTGGTGAAATGCGTCCAATCGCCGTGCAACCGCGGTCCAATCTGGCACAACTTTGGTTTGCAGCTTCCCGCCTTTGCCAGCAAGCAGATTTAGACAGCACAGCCTGGGCCTGCGCAGGGGAAATCAACATACAGCTTTCCAGGAGGAACTATTATTTGCGCGAGCCCGTGCAGTCAAAATGAGCGAAACACCATGCAGCGTCTAAATTCACAATAATTGCGTTGCCCTTTCGCGGTCCAATCGCCGGCCTTTCGTGGCTCGAGTTTTCCCAATCGCGCGGTTCAACAAGTTGCCGCTGTTCATAAGTTTTAGACATGCAAGTACGGACGGCCCCCATATGGGAGAAGCTCATTTTGTAAATTCGCCAACAACAAGCCGCAACAAAGTATCAAGTCCAGCAACTCGGGGAGTGAGACTAACGACAACCACTGGGGGAAAACAGCACCAGTGCTGAGTTGGACGCCTCTGTTGCTACCTTTTTTGGAAATGGACGCCTTCATTGGAGCAAAACCGGCAAAACCCCTTCAGGTGGTTTTTGGGAGTCATGAGCTTTCCCATCCTAAAGCAACAAACACCATTGCACATTGGAACGCCTGTTTTCCAATGGCTTTGTTTTTGTAAAAGAGAAATGCATTCGGACGCTTGTTTATTTTCCCGCAACAGTAGCAGAATTTGCCCCAAAGGGGCGGACACGTCTTTTATGTCTGAGGGATCCAAAAGGATCCCATAATATTCGGTTAAATTTTGTTTAACAAAAACCAATCACACATTCTAGAACAATATCGCAAAGGAAGAATTTGATACCCCACTAACCGACGGTTCCTCGTTGGCTTGCCGGCAAGACATCCATTCACCACCAAACTGTGGAAGTAGCACCGCAGGTCTGCGATCAGATGCTCCATTGTTTATTCAAAAGACCTGGGGCTGACACGGTTTTGGGCAGGACAGTTGCTGGAGAGCTGGAGAAACACCATGTTTCACCATTCACCGTTGCAGAGTGACCCTGGTCAAAAAACGGAAACCTATTTGGGTTGACTGACCTTTTTTGGTGGGGAAGAGCTTGCCACTGAACCTAGTGGTTCATCAGGAAACGCACATAGCTCCAAAAATTGAGATTGGCAAACAATTCGGGAGTGAAATTCATCAACTCTAGTGGTATCTAGTGGTTGCATGAGTTGCTTTTGGCTCCAGGCTTAGTCCATGGTTTGTTTGGAGTTGAAAGATCACACACACACACACACGCCAGAACCGGAAGAGGCACGTTCAAAATTCATGCTTGTAGCGATCTTTGCCCTGGATTCATAAACGCCACCTGGTGTGACTTGTTTGACGTGACACCTTTTCGGGTTCAAGGAAACCACCCCTTTTTGTGGAGTTCATAGGGCTTTTCAGGACCCTTCAAATTGGAGACGTGCTGCGCCCCTCGCTCTCTGGTGGAAAACCACAAGGGTCCTTCACTACAGATTTCCTAAAAATGCCACGGCCTTGTTAGGCCTCAACATAGGTTCCAGTCGGCTTTGCTTTCGGCTCGGACTCAAATCTTGGGTTGGATTCTGCGAACGGACACGGGCCGAGTTGTCGATAGAAACTTTTGCGCACGGAAGCCAATGGGCTATAACAAGCAGCATGCACAAGTTTGGTGATATCCCCTTTGTTGCAACGCCAAAAAACCCAGCAAAGCTGTGCCTCTTCTTTAGGTGACGGCCCCTCCAAAAGGAAAAACACAATTCACCCTTCCGCGGATTGGTCCCAAACAATGCGCCCCTGCGCAAGGAATCGCTCGCATATTTGTAACGTATGCAGTTCGCATTTTAGGGATCGGCGCCGGTTTCACGGGGTCTTCAAATGGAAGCCGCTTTGCAAACAGGCTCCTTTTGATGAGCTGCGCGCAGAGGTGCTTTAGCCCTGGGAAAACCGTCCCTTGTTTTTCTACACTTGATCATCTTTATGCCAAGGGAGCACCGCTGGCAAATTCAAAATCGGTTGCTTTCTGCGAAGCCCTGCTACAAGCTTAACTTTTAGTGGTTTGATTCGGAAGACCCATTAGTTGGCAAAAAGTTAGAGTCCTAACATCCCTTGGCAAAATGCACCAAATTTAGATACAGAGACAGGAGCTTCACTTGCGCGCAAAGAAGCACGCCAGGGCCCCAGGCGATGCGCACTCGCACGCAGGGGTTCGGAATGCCTGCCTTTGTGACCTCGGAATCCATCGATCGGCTTCCCTCCAATTGGCAGTTTGGATTGGCGGTTTAGTGTTTTTGGGGTGGTTTCCCATGTATCCTCAACAATAGTCAAGATTCGTTCAACTCCCCCAACCACCAATCCAAACCACCAACCAACAAACCACCAACCAAGGGTTCCTGGTGGTCTGCATGGGATATCGGCTTGCAAGCGGACCGGCCACACATGCAGCGACTGCATCCGACTTCTATGACTAGTCGGGAGATGCCCCGAAAACTGCGCCGGAAGTAGACAAGGAGATTCCATGGACAATGACACCCCGATTGTCCCCATGGTTCAGCAGTCGTGCTATCAATTTCAATAGACTCCGCCTTGGGTAATTCATCCCCTTGCTTCCTTCAGAACTTGTCTCGGCCATGCATCCCAATGGGAGAGGACACCCTTTTGGTGCCAATGCCACCCTCTCCCAAAAGACAACACTTCAAGCAAAGCACCAAGAAGTATGGCCTCCCCAAGCGAACTTGAAAGCTCCCAATCACCCCCCTAAGACTTTACAGTGGCTTCTTTGAAACCAATCCCTGGGGCGGCGGGGTCTGGAAACATTTGCCCTTCCTTTGGACAGTTAGCGACAAAAATAGCTGGTTAGAAACGACTTTTCACATGGAAAACAGGACTTGCACCCCCATCCAAATAGCACATGTTTGGGGCTCGCCAAAAAGAAACCGGAGACCCATGTGACAGGATCCACCCCTATCCCTTCTTCTCTCATTTGCCTCAGAAGGGGGGGCAAATGGGGTAGGAGGTTCGGATGTTCATCCCAGCCGCATTCTTGAAGCTCTCCTCTACGCTTTTCCCCACGTCTGAGTATTTCACGACCTCGGTGCCGCGAAAAAGTGCGCTAACTAGTCACTTGGAATCCAGAGGTAAACTTCTGGCACCTTGACCAAAAAGAAGACTGCAGGAAGTCCAAAAGGTCCAGAAAGGTCGGCCTTGGACAACTGGCATGTCTACATCGTTAAATCTCTGAAGTGGCCTTATTGAAAAATTGCCAAATCGCTTAAACCAGCTCTGTTGAGTTTTCGTCTGTGGTTTCAACATGTTCAGCCTACTGACTCCAATATTTTCCGGGCTGACTGCCTCTTTTTGAACAGAAAGCCCGGCCGTTGAGAATGCATTTAGACTTCCAGGAAATCTGACATTATCAAAACACGTTAAACAAACAAGGCCCTTCCTTGGTAAGAACCTGTATCTCGTATGCATCCGGAACGCGAAGGCTTTCTACTTGACTTCAGTGCGTCAAAGTTCCCAGAACTTTAGAACGCCAAGAGCGAGTCAGCGTACATCCTTTGAAGGTACTTGGAGGTCTCTTCCCCAAGTTCACTCGGCGTCCGGAGCCACCTCCGGACTTCGGGAGATTACGATCCATGGGTCTTCCGTTGGGAGATCTGACCTTTCACGAAGCCAACAACACCCATCCCAAGAAAGACCCTCTTTTGCAAAATGGCAGTGGTCCTGTTGGTTTCCTTGGCACTTCGAAATTGGAAGGGACCATAGGAAAAAATCATCGGCATCATGTTTTGGTTGTTGACTTTAAAGGAGAACCCTTCTCATAAAAAATGGAACAAATGGCACCACGGGGCAGCTGGGCAAAAGTGCAAAGCTTGGCTTTGGACTGGTGGCTTGCATTTGTTGTCTCCTTTCCAGGGCAGGGCCCTGGGTCCAAGAGGCCATACTGTTGACCCCTCTTGAAGAACAACAACTCCGAGCACCCTTCGCAATCTTTGTCCATTTGGAGGTGTCAAAATCTGACCCCAAGGTCCGTGAAACTTGTGCCCTTCCTTCCGGTTCCTGAAAAAACAAAGCTGAAAAGGGTGCCAACTCAACATACACAGACGCACACACACACACACATATATATATATGTATATATATATATATATGTTTGAGCCATTTGCCAAGCTGCTCGCTGCGCGATGGAGCCCATGGGATTGGTCTCAGTCATGCCCCAGCCTGCGAGTGACCAAACTCTTTTGGGCGAGAAACGAAATGGAACCTGCCCTCCAAGATATTTCGGTGTGTCTCTTCTTAACCCTAAATGGTTCTGTGTTCCTTTTGGTTTCCCTTTAACACCACCAAAAAACGGGGAATCATTGCTACCCTTGAAAATAGCCACAGGGGAACTGCTTATGGACATGTCCAGGGTCGACACAGGCAAGAAGTGGCGGCATCAACACTAGAGCAGACCCGTTTGTTGCCCAAAGCTTTCATTCACTACTCTTGACAATATTCCCAATCCTGCGTCGCGGTTCAAACAACGAACACATGTTTTGTTATAGGACCAGCCGGGGTTTCTCGATGAGAGTAAACTTCATCATGATGAGGTATCATCCCTAGTAAGGACCCTGAAGAACAAATGAGCCAACAGCTGAAAGCGCTCAAAGGCGCCGTTGGCACTCGCTAAACAAAATAGGTTACGGAGCCATCCGCCTCTGATCGACAGTGTGATGGCTCTCGAAGTTGTTCGAGCCGATTTCGGGCAAATGGGCCAACGGATTTCGAGTCGCCATCTCCGGATGTGTCAACTCAGGGTAAGCGGAATGCCAACGGCACCTCAAAAAGCCAAAATCCGCTTCGCAGTGTTTGCAGAGCGACCATTCATAGGTGTGCTTTGTGGACTTTCTCCTCAGGCTGCTTCTCCAAAAATGGACCCACCGCCCCCCCAAAAAATAATAATAATAATAACAAATCGCAAACTTCCCTCTCAGCTTCCAAAAGGGGGCCCCACCATCTTGAGACCCCCCCCCCCACGCCCTTAACTCCTCCTTTTTTGGGGGCCAACCGACCACAGCGCCATGGAGCCGTGCGGGTCCCAAATCGGATGTCAGAGGGCCACGTTCTGTTTCTTCTCCAGCGCAGCTTTAACGTGAACGGAACCTACAAGCAACGACTAAAACACGTAAGAATGGGTCTGTGCAAAACATCTGACTAAAAAGCGTAATAATCAACATCCGACTTTTGGAGCCTTGCCATCTAAAACCATGTTGGGCAAAGTTGGATGGAGTTTCTCCTTGGTGTGCCAAAGATACCGCCAGAGTCAAGCTCATGGGAAAAAGGCCACTTTTATCGATTTTGAAGAGACCACTCCAAACAAATCTTGGGAAAAGGACATGATCATGGACATGCAACTTGGAGGCCTGGGGTTCGTTTACAAGCACCAAACCACCGCAGAAAAAAAAAAAACATCGACTGAAACGCAGCAGCTTTTGCGCCCGCGCCTTGCAGGAACTCGACGCCCAGCCTCGAGATGCCGGCGGCCACCCATTTTCATCAATGTAAAGTGCAAAAGGCATAGAAATCACAACCGGAATTCAGGAATCCAGGGACCTGCAAGGGTGACCTAGGATTCAGCCTCAAAATTGCAATTTTGAAGCGGTCAAAATATCCGGTCCCACCATGGACATGGAACAACTAAAGTGGGAGACTTAGTCGGCTCCCACGTCTCTGCCATACTACAGGATAATACTCTCAAGGTGATGTTTAAAGCGGGGACCCTCTCCCACTCTTGAATTACAACGTCAAGTCGCAAAAGTCAAGCCACATACAAAAGATCCATCCGGCCCCCCCCCCCCATCCCCCCTCCTGTCTGACATGAGCTGACTTTAGGGGAACCAACTGCAGAAGTGGCCAAAACTGCCAAGTCCTTGACAATTTCGCCGATCACACTGGGTGGTAACAGACCGCAAACTATGCTGTTCAACGACATTGCCCGCCGGAGGTCAGAACCGAAACAAGACTTGGCGACCAAAGCTCGATGCAAACCTGGAGCAAAACGTAGAAGCATCTGCAGCCCTGGTGGAAAGAATTAGCCCTTGAGGGGCTTGACACCCGTTTTTTTGTTTTTCTCCTTATTCAAACCACAAAAGACAGTACGGTATTTCATCTTGGGTCCCCCCCCGCCAAAAAAAAGTCAAGAAGTGGGCTTTCCTTTTGGTTTCCCTTTTCACCACCCAAAAAGGGGTACCAACTCCAAAGAAATTTCTCACCGCTGCTGGGCTTCTTCACGTTCCGAGGCGCTGCTCCAGGAACCAGCGCATGAGCTCGGGCTGTGGGGCGCTGCCGCCGCAGGTGAGGCGGTTCAGGGTGCTCAGCTGCGGCTTCAACGTCTCCACCCCCTGCTGCCTCGAGGCAAAAGGGAAATTCGGATTCCCTGAAATTTTCAACCATTGAACGTTGGATGAACATGAGACCAGCCCTGGCTGTTGAGGAAGGACCAAACCAAAACCATGCAAGCTTGCATATTGATTTGCAGCACTTAAGACAAGACTCAACAAGACAAAAACAGTTCAAACTTCTTGTTGGACGCCAGTAAGTGTACTTTGGATGCCCCGAACAAGCGATGGTTCAAAACCACCAAAGGGGGACATGTACGCAACCCTGACCTCCCCTAACAGTGAGGCCATAGCTGAGGCGCTGTATGTAGCTCCGCACTCCCTGCCACACTGTTGGCACCCCAGTGGCGAGGTTCACCTGTCATGGAGCTTGATTCGTCATGTCCATAGGTGTATAGCCAGCAAGGGTAGTATGGTCTCCAAGTAATCTACGGGGTGATTATCTGTCCATTATTTTCAACCATTGCTCTTTTCAAGAAGTTGCTTTCTTAGGGTTTCTGGTGGCTTTCACAAAGATTGATTCCGGTGTACAGCTTGTTCATACCTGTTGGTCCCATGCTTGCCACTTGACAATGGGTGGCATCCCATTTGGAGAGAGAGGGGTATGAACAACAAGCCTCTGGGATCATTTACTCAAGGGTTGTGATAGCGGCATGTACATGCTGGTTGACTTTACAGGGAGTTTCCGGAAACTCCACATTCCATCCGTGTACCCGGGGCCTCAATTCTACCGCTATAACTCAAACAAAACGCAGAAAATGATGGGCGGCGCATCACATCCACTTGGGATGCCATTCGAACTGTGTCTTTGAGAATTCCATTGACGAAAGCAACATTTGAACCTCAAATCAAACTGGTACCGCAGAGCCCGATAGGTAACCAGGTAATCTTACCCCTAGGTTTCACAAGTTTCGTGCGACGGCTTTCCTAGGTTCCTAATGGCAGCTGGATCCACTGGATATGGAAACTCCAACTCCCCGAACTACGGTAAAGCCCATCTCAAGGCCTCTTAGATGGTCCTGTCTTTCAGTTATCCCCATAATCACTTTAAATCTAAGAGGAACTGGCATGCATGAACCAGGTTTCAACGTTTCTTTCCCAAAAGAAACTCAATGAACATGTGCCTTTCCACAAGTTCATCGTGCAATCACCCGAGGGACACCAATTGATTGGACTGGGCCTTTCTACAATCTCCTGCCTTGGGTTTTACCTGCAAAGTTAAAAACGTTCAAACATGAATAATCGGATCCTCAAGTATGGGACCCACATCGTTGAGCTCGTTTACCCATCAGTGAGCTCGCCCCTTATGCAGCTTCAAACTATTGCCTTTCATGTAAGACTCATCAAACCTGGTATTTAAGAACAAACAAAAACATGCGCGGATGGATATCATGGCTGGGCCTCGTGAAGCGCTACGACTTCGGCCATTCGCAGGTAGGCTGCCATACAAACACAGGGGAAACAAATAAGGCCTAACCATGCAGACACACACATATATATATATATACATATATATATATATATTATACACATATTATACATATATACGTCTAAACACAGATCTGAAGATTCTGCCTAAGCATACGCCTGACACATTTGCCGGTATCCTTCCCCAGGGCAACCCGGAAGCTTTTTTCGGCCTTCGAAAGACTTGGTCCCATCGACTGTGGCCTTGGAGCTTCCATGCTGAGGAGGGTGGGGGGTAGCTTCCTTTTGGGTATCTGTCAAGATGGGTGTGTCTTGTCGGATTTGGACTCGAAACATGGGGGTAGGGGTCCTTTCGGCTTCCCTTTCCGCAAGAAGAACGGACCATGGCCCTGGAGCTTTCGTGTTGGATAGTCGCATCTTCCTTCTGAGGGAGGGCAACAAAAAGGCTAAAATGGAATTGGGGATCTCCTAGCCCTCTGCCCTTCAACCAAAACCCGAAACCCTCCTTCCAAAACCCCCAAAGAAACTTGATCCCCCCAAGCTCCTGTTGGTTTCCCTTTAAACCCACCTCCAAGACCCCCCCTCCTTCCAATCGATCATCATCCTCACCAAGGAGGCCGGGTCCATAAAGCGAGAGCTCAGCACCGTGCGGACACCTGGCGACGCTTTCAAACGAGAAGGGACACGAGGTCCTCCAGTAGGTAGGTAGGTAGGTAGGTAGGTAGGTAGGTAGGTAGGTAGGTAGGTAGGTAGGTAGGTAGGTAGGCATATATGATCCTGGAAGTAGCTCCTCCAGAAAGGTTCGAATAAGGCTACCGTTACTTTTTTTTCGGTTTTGTCTATTTTAGCAGGGGAACCCTCCCAACCAAAAAAGGGTTAAGAAGGCACTACTGGGTGACCTAGGACAAACAAACCAAACGGAACGCAATGCTTGGTTGCCTGGGCATGGGCTTGCAGAAATGGGTTGTCCCCCAAAAAAAGACTTCGCCAGGAGACCACAATATTAATTGTTTGTTCAATTTGACAGGGTTCCATTCTTGGTTGCTGGTGCGAACCCTCTGTTAGAAAGTGTTTTTTGGTGTGTCCAATTCGAAAATTCCGACCTGGTTCCTAGAAAAGGTTGAAGTCCAAAAATCTAACCAAAATAGCCATAAAGAATGTTGTGTTTGGGTTTGTTTGTTGTTCTTTTGGGGGGCAAGGGGAGGCACACCAATATCCCCATGCTTTAAAACCTAGGGGGAAGGTGGGGTTAGGGATGGGAGGGGGTGCCTTTTTGGCCCAACAACTGGTTGGGGTTGCACAAAAACGATCTCCACAAGCGCAGCTTTAAGGGAACAGCGGGACTCAGTGGGTGTCCCTAAATAGGATCTACGAACTGGGATTCGTTTGAATGCTAAAAACACGATTGTTGTTTGGTGGCTGGATCCCACGTCTTGGAAGCTGTTTGGCCCGAGCAACAAGCCGTTAAGAAAACCGAACCAACGAGCTAGCAGCTAGCCCAGGAAATGGGTTGGCAACCGAAGGTTGCAGAATCTGCTGGTCACTCACCATGTGTCCGGGATCCAAGGCCCACCCCCCAGTCCCTCTGATTTCTTGAAGCCTCTTGACCTTGGAAGGGGAGCTCAAACAAATCAAATTTTAGCAGTGAAGTGGTTGGATTTCAACCACTAAACCACAATAAGCAGAAATGTAAAATGTTTCCCAACGACAACCATGTGGAAAAGGTTGGGAGAGCGGCCAAACAACTGGCTCCATCCAATCTTCATTTTGGGGGGGAAACTGAAACTGGAAACTGGGAAGGGAGATTTGCAGAGAAATTCAGTCGGCAAAAGCCCTGAAGCCCATCAGATGTATGCAAATTTTGAACCCTTGAGGTTCTTGGAACGGCCTCGTGGTTTACACGGCAACTGCTTGCCGGCAAAATGGGACATCCTTTCAATCAGGTTGCACCAATCCTGGGCTCTCACCATACTTGTCTCAAAAGCAACCCTCCAAACACGTGGTTTCCGCTGGTTCCCTTTAAGACTCTTCGGCCCCTTCAGTGTCGAGGGGCCCAGCATCATGAGCGCGAAGGGCGTGCCCCAACTCAGGACGTGGAACATGGGCACGAAGGGCATCACCACCTGGTCCGATGCTATGGTTTGCTTTTGCATCAAGAGTCCGGGGCTACGTGGCACCCTGGTGCTTAAGCGCCAGTAACTGTTAGCCTCGGTTGCTTTCTGCGAAGCCCTGCTAAAAGTTTTTAACTTTTGGTGTTTTAATGGAAAACCCATTAGTTGGCAAAAAGTTAAAGGCCTAACATCAAGCAAAATGCGCCAAAGTAACTGCAAGGGACCCGTTTGGGTTGAAAACCGGAGAACCAGCGGGTTGGTGGATGGAACCCAAGCCAAACGGAAACTGGGTGGAATTCCTTGAATTTACCCTACCAAGTGCATAGGCCCCTGTTTGGTTGACGACTTTCCTCTTGGAAAGGGCCTTTGTGCACTTCCACGCTGGTTGGCGGGAGGGCTTTTTTTGGTCAAAGAAGCCCTGACACACCCGCCTCGAAGCCGCGCAAGCATAGCTGGTCCCCCTGCGCAGCCACCAAGGTGTGCAAATATGTGGAACCTCAGCGTTCGCGGTTCCACCCCCTTCTCCCCGAATCCAAGCCAACATAAGACTTGAACAAGGCCTTGTTAAGATCTTGCTGAGTTGGTAGTCACACCTGGCACTTGCAAAGCTGGGCTTTCCCCTCGGTTACCCAAGAATATAACCCGACTAAGGCCTTTTGAGGTCCATTGATTTTTTGGAGGAGTCCCAATCAACATCTGTTTGTCAGGTGGCCCAGCCAAAATCCATAGTCAAAAAGTCTTTATGTACGAGTACCCCAAAACTGGTCGAGAATCAGAGGAAGCTGCAGCCCTCACTGAAACGGGTATATTTTCCGATTGCCCCAAACATCCTGCGCCATTTCCGGGTTGATTTTTAAGGAAACCCCAACAACAAAAATCAAAAAAAAAACAGCACTGGAGCTGTGGGTGAGGATTCTCTATACCCCCATTTCCCTAAAGCAAAGAATTGAAACTGAAGCTAACCATGGGAGCTCCACCTAACCAGGTCACGCCTCATCAAGGCTTTCAAATGACAACCACCCAAAAGACACATCCTGCGCCAAACGTGATCAGTCATGAAACAACAACTTGATTCCCAGAATCTTACAAGGGGCAAAAGGAAACCCCTCGTGTTTGTCTTGCGATTCCTGGTTGCTCCATGCCTAGTGGCCCTAGACTTCTCGCTCCGAGCAGCGGTGGCTATAAGCCACTCCCTTGGGCTTGCCAGTGGTGCCTGCGCGTAAGCCGTGAGGCCGTGAGCGCCAAGCCGGCAGGAAGCTGGTACGCGTATGCACCCTGGTACTTTTCAGGGACGCCCCCGCAAATGGGGTGGAGCTCGGTCCCTGGTTGGCTGGGGTGGATCCCCCTCGAAAGGGCAACCATTTGGGTTGGCTAAACAGTTCGGTGGTTTACTCCCCAAAATGAGACTTAACGCCCAAAACGGCATGACTCTCTACAAATCACCCTACACAATTTCCCCCAACCAAAGAAGGCATAAGGATTCGTTCCGGCCAAGAAGGGGACCATTGCGACTCCGGGGCCCACCCAACAGTGAACGACCCCTTCCGAGCCCATCGCGCGAGTCTCAAATTCTGGCTCTTGGAATCAACGTGGACCTCGTCAATCGCGAAGAACCCTCCGAACTTACTTTGGCATGCAAAGGCTATTGCTTCCTTGAATGCAATGAAACCTGGAAAACATCACCTGGGCAGCTCCGAAGGCCCGATCGTCATGGAAAAATAATCGGCTCTTGGAAAAGGGACGCACAAAAAGGACGGACTACCAATTATATGCCCTTGTGCCCTTGTAGCTTGGTGACTGCTTGGAGTTTCAGAAAAGAAAAAACAAACTATTCACAGTTCAAGGTTGATCGCAACATGTGCTGGCCACTGAGGCTTTGGATTCTTGTTGCACATCACCTCACTCCAAGGTTTAGTCAGTTTCGACAGTGTTTAGACTAGAGGAATTGAAAGGAATCACTTTGGCTGAATGCACCTGTCAACGAACTGGCAGAAACCGATGGCCACTGAAGGAGCCGACTCAAAATGAATTCCAAACCATGCGTGTGGTTCATGTTCCGGTCAAATCAACTCCTCCAGCCTTTGAACCGACCATTTCTAGTGTTCCTTATGCGAATATGTGGCCTTGAAGCATCACCCCAAACGAAACCTCACTTTAAATGGGCAAAGAGGCGATCTCAAACCCCCATCCCCAAAAAGGGAACTACATCATACTACATGGGTCGTTCTGCTTGCTTTTTTTGAGGGGGGCCTTTCCTTCCTGGACTTAGATGGAAAGCATTTGTTGGGGTCCCCTGCAAGACGTTCCCCCCACATCGACACCCCGACATCGCGACCCCGAAAAGGGTCGGAGGTTCGGCGCCTGAGGTGTAGCACAGCCCCATGGTGGTGGTCTCCTCGGCCAGCCGGCTGAGGGCTGGTCAATGTGATCAATATGGCGGTGGTCAAAACCGTTTTGGGATCCCATTTTGGTTGGATTCGGTGAATTCACCACCCATCTTGAAATTCCTATTTTAGTGGTTGGATTGGGATGTTCACTAGAGGTACGATTTGGCTTTTGACCCATGGCCATATGAAGTGTGGGGCGATGGACGGTCGCGAAATCCGCTTAGGCGCCACCTAAGACACCCTGGTTTCGGATGATTCTCCTCTAAAATGCCGACAAACGTTGTTGTTTCAACCATGGTTTTTCAAAGTGGTGCGAAATGGATTTCGCAACCATCCACAGTATGAAGTGGTTTTGGCGAGTTGATCAGGGGCCTCCTGGCCACGTTTCGAACGAGAAGCAGGTATGCTTGTATGCCTAGCCAGTCTATCCAGGCGAGTCTGCCTCAGAGACCCCGATTTTTCATCATTTGGAGTGGCGTGCGCATGCGCAACCCCCGCAAAACATGGGATGCATTCACAGCTGCTTCTGAACGTATCCTGACGGCTCCAACCCCAATCCAAACCAGAGGAGTTTCTTGCTAAGACTGGGAACAACTTCAGCTGTCATCTTGGTGTCCCCTTACAATGACGCGATGCTTCCCCAACCCACGGCGCGCCAGCAAAAACAGACTGGTCTTTGCCCATTTAAAAACAAGTAGAACCACAACAATCCGAGCAACTAACACAGCATAACATTGGCCAAGCAATTTCACCCACTACCCCCTTTTTGACCATGACTGAATTAGCTACTAAAGCATACCACAACCCCCATTCCAATTATGTAGGCCCTACACTCAAAGTGAAGGCACTTGAATTTTGACACATGGCCCTCCCACCCGCTCACCTAGTCAAGCCACTCCACTGACTTGTTGCCCAGTTCCCCAGTTCGGAGCCAGGAAGAAAAGGTGATCACCTTTTGGCACCTTTTCTAAACACGGTCGGCCCAATGTCACATAGCTGTGGCTCCAAAAAACGGTACCAAGATGGAACCCTGGTGGAAACACGGACCAAGACCTGCGAAACCCCTCCTGGTTGATTTTGAGCCCCGATGTCACATGGCACCCAGCCCCCCCAGCTCTCAGCTCGCTGGCTCCGAGGTGCCGGAAACACGGGCCACTGGAAGTCCGCGCTGCCGGTTGCCAGGAAGTCCTCGTAGTCGACTGCGGGGACGTCCAGCCCTCGGCGACGGAGGGCGAAACCGGGGAGGGCGGGCGATCACCACTTTGGGAATTTGAGTTCCCCCTACCTCGAGGGGAGGGAGGTGGGGGGTGCCCCAATTGGAAAATGGCACCATAAATGGAATAAATGGAATTCCAGGGGTCACCCCCCTCCCCCAATTCCATTTTGAAGGGGTTTTCTTGGTTGAAGCAAAACGCGGGATCAAACCGAGTGTTTTCGGACAAGCACGAAATCCCAAGGTTTGTATATGGTATTCCTGTTTTGCCTGGATTTACCAGAATTTACGAGAATTCAACCCATACAAACGATATCAAACCAAAGGCGTTCATTCAATGCAGTGTGTTTTTTGCTGGCCGTCGAACAAACAAATGAACCATCAGTGCTTATAGAACACCGAGCTCTATTGAACTCAGATCCAGAACACCCTATTGGCTCAGCTGCTTCCGAGCCTGGTGAAGAAACATTGAACCCCATTTGAACAACTGATTTGTGGGGTTTCAGGTGTTTGTGGATTTTGAGGGCCCGCGTTCTCAGGTGTCGATCATAATTTTCATGCAGGTCCTGAACTTGGCCGGTGTGTGACGAGAATACCTCCTCACTCTAACTATGTCCATATCCTTATCTTCAGACACTTGCTGTGCATAGCCGCTCAGAAACCTTTTTTTTCATGATTCGATTCCCCAACGTAAATTCCTGCAGCTTGAACGTTGTAGTTTCATTGCCATGGTTTTACTAACCGTGTTGGGAACAAACTCCCCCACAAATACCAGCAAACGTTCTGGATTCAACCATGGTTCCAAAGCAGCGCGAACGGATTTCGTGTCCATCCACACTTCCGTTTGGTTGCCTTCCCATGGATTCATTAAACGTGTTCAATAGAAACAAAAGGAATTCGCGTCCATCCACGGAGTTTTTCCTTCGGAACCTCGAAGCCAGATGGATCCCAAGGCTCCGCTGGGCATGTCCCAAGCCTTGGGCTTGCCATCCATACCCACGCCTCGGCTCGCTCGGCTTCCGCTTCCGGGTGGGAACTTCAGCCCCAAGCCGCGAGGATGCGGTTTTTGTGGTGAAGTGTTGGGTTGGCTGCCGTGGGGCCCCCCAAAACCTCATTCCCCACTCAAAAAGAAGAACGTAGGGGCAAAAAGATCCGAGGAGGCAAACCGGGTTGCAGCCATGAGCGATACTGGCTTGAAACTTGCAAGCTGTTTCTCAACTTGACTCAAAGGGAATCGACCTGACATGATCTTTTGCTGTCCAAGTTTGGCAAGCCGGCAAACGGTGATTCCCTTTGTTCAAACAGGTCCGAACTGGGCTGAGGTTTAAACCACCTTTGGGTTTCTGCCCAAGGTGTAGCTGGTCGGCTTGAGGGTAGCCGTGAGGTCCCAAAATGAGAACGTGTATGCAGCTATATATATATATATATATGTATTTATGTACATACATCTGGGGCTGTAGTTGTTCAGGTACCCGTTACCCTTTTGGGTTTCAAGGGAAGCCAAAAGCACCAAACCGCGTTTTTGCTCCCGTGTTTTCCGCCCTCCCCCCTTTTGTGACACCTACCCGAGGTGTTGTCAGCGTGCTAACCTACGGGACCGACCCCTGAGGCCCTGAGAGGCCCTGAGACCCTGAGGCCCAGCACCGGGATGTGAGTGGCCGACTGTAGCTCCCCCAAGTGGCCGATGTGCGGTCTTTCTTCAGAAACTGAAAGGCTCTTCCCAAAAAGTATGCAGTCCACAGCATGTGGTCCAATTTCTATATAATTCACAAGCAGCAAAAAAAGAGGAATCCCGGAATCCCAGGTGAGCTGATTTGACAGCCGTTCGATGAGCTCCTTGTAACTTGCCCAGGAAAGCTGGCTGTGAGGGGCACCTGCAAGCTGACCAAGCAGCAAGCCTTCTCAGTTTATGCTTTCAGTGAGACGTGGCAACAAGCCCTCCATAGGTCGGCAACTGCAGCAATCCACCAATGCTAAGGCATTCGATCCTCCAACCCTCCCCCTGCACCGTCTCTACTGCAGTGTAGATTTGCTTGATGAGTTTCCTTTTGGTGAATCACAGACAGGCTGAAACTCTTCAGTCCTATTGTCAGATGAAAAAGAGGCCCCATTGGTAGCGAGCTCAAGCTTGCGTGGGGGAAAACTGCCTGCTCAACGTGCAGTGCCACGCTGTAGATGGTCTTTTTTGTGCGGTTTACGAAGATGAGGACCAAGGTATATGTGTGTATATATTATATATACATATATATATATGAGGTATGTGAACCCGGGGGCAATGGCAACGGAGGTAGCCTTCGCAAAAAGGGACTTGTTGGAACCGCTGCCCTACGGCGATCCACCTGTGCAGTTCAAGACAACTGGTTGCAAAAAGTCAAACCTGGGTCAATTGCATAAATGCGCAATTTTGAAAAGAAGGAAAAACACATGGAGCCCTTAACAAAGAAAGCTTCATGGGATTTCGGTCGCACGTACTTGGTAGGTGAGCTCTTTTGTACAGAACCTTCACAACCCTTGGTAACTGTGCTTCTTGCAGCCCCTAGTTACTAAACATGAACAGAACCAAACAAACCAAAAACAACAAACAACTTGATCCAAGAACAGCAAAGAAGCGGTTTTCCAGGAAGGCCCAAGATCCCCAAGATTCCCCAAGACCCCCCGGAGTGAGGTTGGGAGGCCAGCGGCACACCACAAGCTCCACCCGCCGCATGATCTGCGGATCGACGCTTGCCAGGAGCTTCAGCATGTCCGCGTCCGAGAAGATGATGCCTTGGGCGCTGGCCATGGGTCAAAATCCAAAGCCCGTAGCCCCAGTGAACATCCAACCACTAAAATCGGCCAAAATGGGTGGGGAATTCACCTACCCCAAAATGGTACCATTGGTTTTGACCCACAGCCACATGGCTTTACCTGAAAACTGAAACTACTGTAGATGGTTGCCATTTCGCACCACCTATCAAACCCTGGAATGATTCCATTCCCCGGTAAATATCAACAAACAATGGATTCCCATGGTTTCAAAGTGGTGCAGGACTTTATCCATCCACAGTAGGTCCTCCAGCAGAGAGGTTAGAATAAGGGGTACCCGATTCTTTTTCTGTAGTCTATTTTAGTAGGGGAACCCGCCCCCAAAAAAAGGGGTGAGAAAGGGCACTACTGGGGACCTAGCAAAGAACCCCCACGGGAAAACACACATCTGGCGGATGTCGACTGGGTTTCAAATAGGTGATGGCAATACGCACGTCCAGAGTGGTTCTGGGGTATCACAGCACGTGGCCCTCCAACTCAAATTCTCCACAAAGAAAGCCGAGGGACCCTGCCAAAAGGGAATCCTTTCCTTCCATAACACCCCTGGAACAAACACATTTCCAGTAGTGATAGATTCCCTGCAAAGCCAAAAAGGGATAACAAGATTATAGTCTTAAGCAAATGGAAGCTTTTGGGGCTTTAGTGTGGGGAGACCGCCAAGGGACTAAAAATGAAAGGGTGCCCATGGAAGGAGAGCAATCAGGGCGCCCTGTTTTTCTTCTAAGCCCGCCAACTGGAATTCACTTTAAGTTGGTACGACCCAGCACATGCCATTATCAAGCTGGTTTTCCAGGGAAATCTAAAGACCCTGGGAAGAAATTGAGGGCACTCGATTCACAAAAGGTTTCTGCACCTTCTTTGTCACGGGGGGGGTGCCCAAATGCGCACCAAAAGCCAAACCTTGGTTCTTCGTGCCTGTTGCAAAGGGGTAGAGTCTCACCCGCTGAGCGACCAGGTGGGTTCCGTTCCCGTTACCCCGAACATGGCACACCAAAACCACCGGCAAAGCAAGAGGCTTGCAGCGATCCTGGACGTCACACCCACTTGTGCGCCTGCAACGCCACTCCCATCTTGCCACGTACCCCAAACAAACACCTCGAGCACAGCTGGCCAGGAAAAGGTTGAAGACCAAATGCAAAGCCAATCTGGTTGTCTTGCCGGTGCTCAGTAGAGAATAAGGGAATGAACCCATTAGTCCCCTTAAAGGAAACCGAAAGCTGGATGGTTTTTCTCGGGGTCATTCCATTTCTCATTCCCTGCATCTCTCGCAGCAGCAAGTTCTTGCAACATCTTGTGCCTACCGGGCGCATGTTGCCAACAGACCTCCCTCTCTCTTTGCAGCGTGGCGCGGTCCTTGGCGTGCTCGATGATGTAGCCCAAGTCGCTTGGGCCCAACCGCAGGTTCAGTGTGTGCAGCACGGCGCCCATGCAGGGGATGGCATGGTAGCCTCACGTTGCAACCCGCCAGGCCGAAACCAAATGGCACGATTCGCACGAGTCTTTTCATATTACCTGGGGAAGTTAAGGGGATCACAGAACCCAAATGGAGTGGCCAATTTGTCAATTCGCCTTTCGTAGTTTAGGTCAACGGGAAACCTCCCTCTAAACAAGGAAAAGGGCTCCACTGAAAGCAGACTTCACCAAGCTGGTTGATTTGACGGACTGTCAAATCAGAGTGGGATCCCATTGGAAGCCCTGCGGCGTTGGCACCCAACCACCAAGTGGCCAAAGGCCCGTGGTTTTTGTTGAGATCCGAAGCCCAATTTCCAAGGCGACGGCGTCCAACCCAGCCAGATGGGTTGGTTTCCAAACCACCTCCTGAGTACAGAACTCGGGATGGAAACAAGGACTAAAACCTGCGGTCCACATCCTGGGTGGTTTAACTTTGACCCATACCCATGTGCTAGTGCGAAAATGCTGGAGTCATGGCAAAACGCTGCCTTTCGGCTGCCCTGTCCTTCTTTGGCTCGCATGATCTCCCACCACTACTTCTGCGAGTGGTGGGCACTACCAACCCCAAATTCCCACAGGGGAATCTGACTCAGTTCCCAAGTTCCCAGCAGGAGTTGTGGTTTCCTTTTAACACCGCCAAAAAAGATCAAACAAACATATCCACTTGCGGGCAGTTTGTATCCCAAAAAAGGGGATGGTCACGAATGTCCACAGGCCAGGCTCCTAAGCGAGCATCTGTGCACCAGACCTTTGCTGGGGGTTTGTGTTCAAAGCAAGCCGCAACCCTATCGGAGAGTTTCGCCTTGATATTTAAAGAGAACAAACCAATGAAAACCCGGTCAAGGGGTCTTATTGTTGAAAGTATTTTTGGTTGGGATGGTACCTTTCTACCCAGCTGATTGTGGCTGTAAGGAATGCCACATCCTCCCCACCTGAGGGGACTGAAAGGTCCAGTTTCATTGATTGCTTCCCCTTTGGGGACCATGGGTTACCACAAATCGACATCTGTCGAAATCTCCCCCGGCCCCACAAATTATTTGAGGCCCAATGTCAGGCAGGGGGCACTCCATGTGCCAGCAGCTGTTCCACATCAACGTGGCAATACGATCCTCGAGCTGGACTCCTGCGGTGTCACCCAGCGATGACTTGCGATCGCTGCGAGTGAAAAATGGAATGACCCCGAGAAAAACCAGCCAACTGGCGGTTTCCTTTGAGGGGACCAAAGCCTGGGTTCATTCCCAGATTCCATACTGAGTACCAGCAAGTCGAAAGGTTGTAATAAGGCACGGCCTTACGGCCTTGGAGGAAAGTTGAGGAAGAGATAAAGAGGGGAAAAAGATGAAGGAACACCAAGCCTCTTCACACAAATAGAATAGAGGCTTGGACACATCCTCATCCTACCCCAATTGATAGGCTGGGAAGGTATCTATGAGGATGTGATGGGAAAAGAAAGGGACAAATGGGTGAAGAGAGGGCGAGTCAAAGATTCTAATGTCAGCCCTCTCTCTCATATCTTCACCCATCAGGAATCTCTCTATCTCTCTCACCTCTCGCTCCTGACCGTTCGAGAATGAAAGTCAACTGATGGAACGGAGAGATAGGAAGGTGAGAGCGAGGAAGTGATCATCTCTTTTCCCCAACCAGAAAATGCGTATAACAAAGGGCTATATACCCCAATTCCATCTTCCAGGGAAGGAGATGCCCTCCCCAAAATTCCCTTCTCACAAGCGCATCCTCCTGGAGCCAACCCTGGGACCTCTCGGCCCACAATTCCTTTTGTCTGAGATGGTTTCCCCCAGAAACAGTAGACGGCACAATTATCTCTGCTGTAGTCACACCCTTGACCTGCCGAAACGAATCATGCCATCTACCTTGATGCTTGTTACATACTCTCTGTTACAAAAAATCCAAAGCCGGTAAGAATCGGAGATCCAAAGGGACCAACATCCGTCGACGTTTCATCGGCCACGGGCACTTCGAGCCTCGCTTCGTCAGCGCTGACGCCAGACATTTGCTCCGCCTGAAGTGCTCGGAGAAGGTCTGAGTGTGGTAGCCTCAACTCATGGCCGCGCCTTTTTTGGATGCTGGGATGGATTAAAGGGCGGTTTTCAGGTCCTATTTTTGGGCATGGGTGTATTTTTCCTAGTCCAACAAACGGTTTCCTGGGATGGTGGGTTGAGTTAAAGAGTTTTGGAGGGCACCTCTCCTATTTTTAGGCATACATCTTTTTCGTTCAACAAACGGTATAAGGTTCGGTCAACGTGTTCAGTCTACTAGTATGGCCCTAGGAGGGATATGGGGGTCGGGGGAGCTCACTAAATGTCCCATTTTGCATGGTGTTTGTGGGTCCGGGCGGGTCGGTTTCCTCGTGGTCGCCTTTCTGTTTGGGTCAAGGGATTTCAACATCGCGAAATCCCATGGAACCTTGGGCCATTCTCATCTCAGGCCGCTCGGGTTTGCAAAGGATTTGGATCAGCCCATGGAAATGACAACTCACTTCGTGAGTGGATGGGCCCGAAAAACTGGGTTTGTTTAACACTAGCATGAGTCGAAACCCAGAGTCCATCAGGAAGTGAGACTTCAGGTTTCGGACGATTAACATGTCCAAAATCGCCATGTTCACCACCAAACTGGTCTTCCCAAAAAGTTGAAAATTCAGGAACTCGGGGAGTGAGTGGTTGGTGTTTCCAACCTGCAAGCAAACCTCAACCAAAGGACGCCGACATGCTAAACGCCGTTTGGAACCACGAGCGAACCAACAGTGTGCACTCAGAAGGCTCCAGTTACATATTCCCCGAGCAGCCATTCGCCGTCTTGGTAATGATGAGGTTGTCGGGTTGCAGCAGGCAACCTCGGGAAAATCATGCGGACATGTGGCGCTTGCCAAGGGTTATCTCGTTCTTCGCAGCTTCCTCCAAATTGGTGCCTTGGATTGGTGGTTTGGAGGTTAGGGGGCGGGTTTCCCATGCAACCTCCACAAAAAGCAGGGGTTCAAATCCCCAAGCCACCAATCCAAGCCACAAATTAGAAGGGTAACCTGATCTTCCTTTCTTCCCTCCCGACCCAGCCCAGCCGAAGAAACATAGAACCTGATTTGGTAACTCTCTTGACGTCTCTTGAAATGTGGGTTCCATGGCTATCTTCTCAGAAAATGGACCTGAGAGCCATCGCAGTCTCACTCAGCAAAATGCCCGCCTTGTTCGGGCAAAGTTAACATTCCGATGGCTTCTTTCTGGCTTTGGCCTTGAACATATTTATACTCACATCATCGAATTCTGCTCGGTTTCCCTATCCGCACACCCCGTTGGGGGGGGGGGGTAATTACCAGTTTGACAAACAACCCCCCCCCCCCAGGAATCTGATATCAAAGCCGGCGGCGGCGCATCACCGTGCCAGCCTTGAAGCCTGGAAACGAAGGGGCCAGGTCTTCAAGGGGTACAAAACGGCAATGGGCCATCCAAGCACGCTTGCCCGCTTCCCCCCAAATGTCTCAGGGAATTCAGGTATCCCCACTGATATATTATTATATTATTATTATATTATTATTATTATTAGTAGTAGTATTATCTCGAAGGGTTTGTTTTCTTGGCTGGTTCGACCAGGAGGGGGTTGAATCCTATGATGTACAGCTCACTTCAACCGCATTTGTGTACTTTGAGTTTATCGGAACTTCCTGAGGGGATTGGCCAACAAAGGAGTCATAGTCTTCGTTTGCCAATAAACTTCTCTCAAAAGAAACAAATCCCAGCAGTGAGACTGGAACCAACGGGGGAGATTCACAACACAATGCAGCCCATGAAGCGGGCCCAAAAGGAACTCGTGAGTCACAAGCCGGCTTTTGAAAACCAACCAAACCGCGGCAACTTGGCGAGAAGTTTTCTTTTGGCTTCTTCCAGTTGTTTATTTTGTTTGACCAGCCAGAAGCTTTCCACTCTCTCCCTGCTGAGGTTCCTCAAAAAAAGCCACTCACAATTGGTCCAGGGCTCAATTCCCACATGCCAGCGGAGTTGCGGGGAGTCGCCCGTCACAAAGAAAGAACATTCCCAACGGAACTCGTTGCACAGCTATGTTCCTGCCTTTCGGGGGGGGGGGGGGGGCGTGTGTCTGCAAACCACTTTGGTCTTCGCAGCCAAATGAGCGGACCCAAGAAAGAAACGCAACAGTGAGGTATACAAATGACATAACCAAACAAGCAAGCATAGTGTAGTGTCGTAAACTGTCAGAATTCGACCCCTTAGGAGCCCGTGGCTATACAAACTTCAAATCTCAAACTGTCTCGTGCTGAACATCTGCAACCTGGCTACAAACAAGCAAGCAACGGCTCGGCAACGAAAACCAAAGTTCCTCTAAAGCAAAGGAAACCCAATCGACCCGAGTCGAGGTGCCATGGTCCACCAACGGACCTCGCAAGCGAGGGAAACACACCGCGTGACCGGGCCGTGTGGACGTAGGTTGACTTTAGAAAGCCAGCTCAATAATTGATTACCTCACATGAACCCAGCCTTGTTTAGTTGACAAAACATGAATGAACACCTAGTACGAGTGGAAGTCAAAAGGTATCGCCCTTCCCTGGTACGTCCTGTGCAAAGGTAAAACGCAAAACAAACAGCGGGAGATGTGACAACATGGGACCCTCAATGGATGTGGATCCCTTTGGGGTTGTCCTTCTCAATCCTGCCGAAATCTGCCGAATATTGCTGATACGGGGGGTGCCGCAAAATGGTTCCGCAACCAAACCAGCGAGGGGTTTGGTTTAGCTCGGGGATCCGAATGAAAAGTCAATATGGTTCCCAAGCCTTGGAACAGCCCACGTTGCCCGACACCAGTTTGCCTAGCGCTCAATTCACTTGGACCAACTCTCGGGTTACACCAACAACATAGTTTCGGAATCTGCTCCATATTCAGCTAACCCCTAAACTACAATGTGTGTTTGGAGAAGGCCCCAGTTGAGCTAGACATCCAAGTGGCCTTGTAAGCTCCAAATTTGGACCTTGGTTCTTGGCTGGCATTAGGACCCAGCAAAAAATATAGTGTGTTTTGCCTGGTTAGTGGGAAAAAAAGGGAACACCAACAAAAACAAAGGGGAACTAAATCTGGACATTGGTTGTGGGACATACTGTAACACTTTCTATGATACCCAAAGCGGCCCATCCCTGCAGCCACCTTGTCATTGGGGGGATTGCCTTGGTTTCGCAGACAACTGCCATACAGCCAAGTTGTCCACAACCATGTTGCTGAGCGACCCTGCCAGATAAAAGAGGAATCTCTTGTGGGGTTCCTCAAGTGTAGTGACACATTGAAGTGGGGAACCCACCAAACGCAACAGCACTTGGGGGTGGAATTCACAGAGCAACTGGGAATTTGGATCCTATGAATGGCTTGAAGGGTTCCCTTTTCGGATAGGCGCGGAAACCAACTTGAACAAGTGGAATTTATCTAAATCAGATTGGTTGGGTGATTGTTCTGGCAGCTCATAACATGGGAATTGAGGCCCTGGTTAGACTCTAAAGCTTATCACTGATGATCTTCCGGATTCGAAGTTAGCCTCGTTTCTATGGGGTTCCCCGAAAATTTGAGTAGTCCACCCCGAACTGTCAGGGTGCATGTGGGTGGCTCATTTTTTGTTTTTGTTTTGGGGGGGCCCTCCTTTTCTGTGGTTTCAAATGGGAACCAAAAGGAAAACCGCCATTTTGGGCGTCCCGCCCAAAAAACCGAACTTGGTTGCTTTCTGCTCCCCTGCTAAAAGTTTCACTTTCAGTGGTTGAGTGGCAAACCCAAAAGGCAAAAAGTTAAAGTCCTAACATCCCTTGGCAAAATGCACCAAAGCGAATACCACCCGGCCTTAAATGAGGACCAAAAGGAAACCCGCCATTTTGGGGCTCCTTGGGCTCCTCCCCCAACAAAAACGAAAACCCATGTCTCGATTTTTTATCGCCCAGCTGCCCAGCAAGAGCGGCTCGTAGTCCCGGGGGTTCACTTTCAGCGCCATTGGCGCGAAGGAAATTCCGGGCTCGAGCCGTGCAGGTGCGAGAGCGCAAGGAAAGCCAGTGACCAAAACGAGTTCGGCAAACATAGGCCCAGAAAAAACAAGTTAAAACAAAGTTCTCAGGGAACCCCTCCCCTAAAAAGGAAGGATCAAAAAAATATAAAAGAAGGTAAAGACAAGTAAAAGAAGCCGTCCTCAGGGAAACACCTCCCCCAAAAAAAAATGAGGAAGAGAAACAACAACAATGCAAAGCCGCGGTCTCCAGCAATTTCCGACTTGGAAAAATATTATTTCGGGGTGCCCAAACGTGTTTCAGGATTTCAGTGGGTTGGTTGATAGGGGCGAGGCCCCATTGAGGTCCTTCACTTTTATAAACGCGTTCGCGGTGTTCGCACGCACACATCATGTTGGGTGTGTCTCTTTATAGGGGACCCCCCGAAATGGTGGTGTTCTTCTTTGTTTTCATTTAACCCCCCCCCCCCCCAAACAAAAAAGGTGGTCCCACAAAAAAATGACACCCTGAACACAAGCTACTGGCAGGTTGAATTCTCGTGTCTGGTGGACAAGCCAGCTCCCAAAATGGGGCCCCAATTGAATTTGGTCAAGGATTCTTGTCAGGTATCCCTAGCCTTGCAGAGCTGGTAGGCCAAATTGCGGCCTAAGGTCCCCTAGCGGCACCTCCAGACATTTGATGCCACTTCAAAGGACGCGCGAAACTAGCTGGGTGAATTGCGACATTTCACTAACCTGAGATCATAAACGGAGCGTTCATGGGCAAAGTAAAAAGAACCATTTGGAGGAGATTGTTGGAATGGGGTTGCAACTCAAAACGATTCTAAACGTTTGACATGTAACTGAGAAAAGCTTGACAAGAAATTCATGCTGTTCCTTGCCCCTGGTGTAGCAGTTCGCCACAGTTGACAACATGGTGTTTGGCTGGTATCCCGACCCACCTCATAGTTAAAACTTGGTTCCAACTCAAAACGATTGAGCCCATTTAGGGCATGCGTTTTGTGAAGGTACCCGAGTTTGGGGGGTTGAAAAAGGGAAATCGAGCAAAACACCACCATTCTAACGGGGCCTCAGGCCCAGTTCAACGCTTCAGGCTGAAACCTCTCACAGGCCGATCTTTGTTTTCTCTCCTCAATAGTCCGGGCCACGGCGAAGGGGTCGGGCGCGGAAGAGGCCTGAATTCAGCGGCCCCAAACCCAGGCTTCAAATCATCCGAAGCAACCAGTGCTGACCCCGGAGAAAAAATGAAAAGAACCAGAAGCCCTGATGGATTTTGATGGGGGATGCCCCTCTTAGTGGAAAATGGGTCCTTCTTTTTTGTGGGAGACACCCCCGCCCCCCCCCAAAAAAAAAAACAGGTGGAGAGGGGGTAGCAGAGTTTCACGGGAGTCACTCTCCCAAACCACCGATGGGGCAACCCAGTCATCGATGGGACATTTGATTGGGGTCGGTCGTTTGAGGACTTGCTTTTCGCCCCCCGCACCCCCCCCCCCTCAAAGCGCCGCGCCCTCAGTGCACTTGGTAAGCCACGAAGACAATGGTAGTTGCCATGGAACCTCCCCCCTCTGAGTCGATGTGCGAACTCCAACTGTGTCCCACGTGACCTCCCAAAACTCGCGTGAGCTTCGGAGACTCTCTACAGACCGCGACCCCCGAACGGAGCATTCGCTGGGGCTAGGTCTGATTAGTTCCGAAGCAACATGGAATCGTAAAAAAAAGCCCCCATAAAGCTTCTTCTAGCACAATGCTTGAAGACTCAAGGTGAATTTCCACAGGAAGGTCGCTTGAATGTCCAAAAACTCCCAACATGTCCGTGAAGCAAAAACCTGAAATGGAAGATACGCAAAACACACCAGGATGACAAAGGTTGCACTAACTTGGCCCGCGGGGGGGGGGGGGGAAAGGGGCAGGTAGGGGTGGGGTTCCACAAGCTTCCTTCATGGGCCAAAAAGAGTCCAAACTACTTGTTCCTTTTCCAAAAAGGTCTGCAGTGGTGAAACAAAACAACCTCGGGGTCACCTTGCCAGTCCCGCAAAAACTGCCGCAAACACAAGTCAAGGTGCCGGAGGTCGCGGGTTCATATCCAGGTACCCAGAAGTATGTCCATGTCCCGTCTCCTCGAAAAATATATATACTTTAAACAAAAAAACAGTTTGTCCCCAGGGTGACAGGGGGACACAGCAAAAGGACATATGTCACCCGGTGTAAAGGGGCGGTTCATGAAATGGACCCAGACTCCCCAGCGCCTCGGAGAGGTTTGAGCTGCTGATGTCCTGCACATGGAAACGCAAACGCCACTCAAAGACAACTCCTTGGGAACAAATTTTCCTTGGGCGACCTACAAGTTCACCATGTGGTTGGAGGAAACTATTTTGAGGAGACTTCTTGACCTCCATAAGTGCTTGACGAGTACTGCAGTTCGAGCCAAGCGATTGTTCCAGAAACCTTGCCACCTGGGTTTTGCGCAAGGGGAGCACCACAGTTCGTGCCCAAGAGGAAAAACGACAAATACACGGTTGCTTTCTGCTTCCCAGCTAAAAGTTTAACTTTTAGTGGCTTAATGGAAAACCCATTAGTTGGCAAAAGGTTATAGTCCTAACATCCAAGCAACATGCACCAAAGAATATGTGTCTGCAGCAAAAACACCCTGCTCCGATCACCGAAGCTTGATCCTCAACATCCCTGTCGAAATGATGAAACCACCCCCAAAAGTACCCTCGAAGAAGTTCAAGAGAACCAGCCACAGCAATCCCAGGTGCCCCCAACACGAGCACCAACATGAGCACAATGAAGCATAGA